CTTGGTTCCGCCGATCGATCGCCGGCAGCGGGCAGTCGTTGAGATCGCCGCCGAGGAGTCGAAGGTGGGTGCTCTGCGTCCTGTGGAAATGTAGTTTGTCAAAGAATGTGAGTCGTTGTTTTGTATCGACTGGTGCGTAAATGTTGTTGATCTCGAGTATCCGGATGTCGCCTCGAAGTCGAAAGGAGGTGACCAGGATTCGTCCGTCGAGTGCCGAGTGGGTGCGCAAAATCTCGGCGTCGATCAGGGGCGAGTCGGCGGGGATCAGAGTCAGACAGTGTTTGCTGATGAAGACCTTGCCCTCGTACTCGTCCTTGATACATTGCCAGAGTTCCGGTTTGATGAAGTGTTCTTGTAGTAGAATGGCGGATGCTTTGAATGTTGATAAATAGGTGTAAATGTTGCGTCGCTTTTCCGGGATCCCCATGCACCTCCTCACGTTCCAGCTGGTGATGGTGTGCTTGATCATTATTGGATAGACGATGTAGACGTGCTCTTGGCGGTAGTGTCGTCCTCAAAGAGTGGGAATTCGGGGAGAATGTCATCCTCGGGCTCGTGGTCGGACCAGCGCTTCTCCTCCTCCACCCCTTTACCCTTCTCCGCTTTCGCCTTGGCCCCCTCGACCTGCATCGCCGCCGCCGCCGACATCGACCTCGTCACCCTCTTCCCCTGACCCGCTACCTCCTTTCCTGCTCGACCTTTGACCCTGTTCAGAACGCGCTTGATATCGACCGGGTCGTCGCTCGGATCGCTGAGATCGGCCACCGTTTGCGACCTCTTCATCTTCTTGTTCGACCCGGAGCCGGTGCCACGAATGTTGATGAATCGCAGTTGTCCATCTTCCTGACCCCACTCTGCAAATTGGTGGCGAACGAGCGGTTCCTCCGCGTCGAGTTGGGCGTTGATGATCGCCTCCTTTTCTGCTTGGACACGTGCAGCAGCTTCGGCGTTAGCTCGGTCCCACTCCGCACCCTCGCGCAGCGACTTTGCCAACGTCTCAGGAGATAGTGGAGGCCACGAGGGACTCCGAGGAGTCGACTCGCGGGAAACCGTGGTGATCGTCGTTTGGTCGTCGTCGATGATCATGATGCTGTCGTCCTGTACCCCCTGTTCCTGCTCGACCTCTTCTTCCACCTCCGTCTCCGTCCCTTCGTCCTCCTCCTCTGCTCCATCTTTCATCACGTCATCCCCATCGTTTCCTTCGTCCTCCCTTTGTTCGCTTCCCTCCGAGCTGTCGTCCTGTTCGTCCTTGTCGTCGTCCTTGTCGTCGCCTCCCGCCTTGTCGATGCCCGCTCCGGCGTTCCCATCCGAGTCCGAATCCTCGTCGTCCGCCTTGGCGCCCGTATCCTCGTCTCCTTCTTCGACCTGCTCCTTTTCCTCGCCCTCCTTTCCTGCATCCTCCTCCTCGACGTCATCCTCCTGTCCTCCTTCGACCTCGAGCCCCGCAAATCGGTTCCGCGATTCGAGTTGGTCGGTTCCGAGGGCGCGGCTAGGGGCCACAACCTCGGAAGCGTCGTTGTCGGTGTTGTTGGTGTTGGTGGTGTCGTTGTTGTTGTTGTTGGTGTTGGTTGGGTTGTTGTGGTACTTGTTGTGCCTTCCGGTGTTGTTGTTCGCTTCCTTCTGCCTCCTCTCCTGTTCCAGCGCGCAGGTCTCCACATGCCCCACAAAGTGGCACCGAGCACAGGCCGCTTCTCGTTCGTAGTCGTGACGAACCGCCGTATGCATGTTGCCTCTAGTGGCTAGAGAGACCTTCGACGGTAGGAGCTCCTTCAGCGTGTTGTTAGGGGCTTTGAAAAGGGCGTCGTCGTCGAAGCGGATAAAGGCCGAAAACTCGCCGGCCAAGTGCGCATAGGCCGAGTCGTTATCGACGTGGATCACGCGCAAGACTTGTACCAGCTCGCAACGGTGTCCCTTGGCTGTGATTTTGGTGACAATTGATTTAAAAGAGTCAACAATGGCATCCCTGGATGGGACCGCTGCGACACCGACGTTGATACGCAGCTCGACCATGTTGTGGTAGAAGTGGTGGGCCTTTGCGAAGTGAGCCTTTGCAGAGTGCCAAGTAAGCGCCAGTGGGGCCGTAAGCGCCGAGTCACGTGCCTTCGCCGAAACGAATCCCACGGAGATACGGTGGTTGACCACACCGGCCCTGACGAAAGACGAGTGTTGGATACCCCTAATCTGGGGCGCAAACGCCGCAAGGTGCTCGGGAAGGGTGACCTCGGCGTCGAAGCACAGGGGCGATTGCGGGGAGAGCAGTCTCGTGACGCAACCGAGCAGATCGGCCTTGTCCGCGGGAGAGGCCTTCGAGGCGCCTTGGACGGTCAAAGTGACGTCGAGAGCAAAGTCGAAGATGTTTCGAATGGATCGATTGGCGTTGAGAGCCGAATACTTGAGCGATGTAGCGGTAGCGACAGGGTACTCGTCGGTGGCGAAGGTGGCTTGCAACCACCGGTCGGTGCGATTGCCCGGTACAGCACCCATGACTTCGAACATTTGGGTCAAAGCCTTGGCACGGTGTTGTTGTTGGGTCTGCTGCTCGGGAGTCTGCTTGGTCTTTTGAATCGCGGCGGTGGCGTAGGTCGCGGCGGCGATAGGGACTTGCGTCTCCTTTGTCCCAATCGGGACGCTCGTCGCCGCGGACGCCGATGGTGGGGGTGGGCCGGTCTCGCCGGTCTCCATGCTAATGTAGGCTGATGTATCACTTGTAGCTTCGAAGGTGGTGGGTGGCGCGATTTCGAAAGTGAAAGTGAAAGTGAAAGTGAAAGTGAAAGTGAAAGTGAAAGTGAAAGTGGAAAAACCTCCCAAAAAAATGCTGTTATATACGCCCAGCGTTTCGCAGCAGCTCTCGTTCATGCCCTTGTAGATCAGTGGTATAGATCGTTGTGCTTGTATGAACCAAAGCTTTTAAAGCTCGGCTTTCGTGCGCGACACAAAGGTCTGGTGTTCAAATCACCACTGGGGCTTGTACTTTTTTTTTTTGCGCAAGTGCTCGTGTGCGCGTTTGGGTCTTCGTGTGATTGGCGTCAGTTTTGATTTTTCTTTTTTGAGTACCAGTGGGATCCCGTTAAATTAACGGGATGATTCCAAAATAGTAGGAGAATCAAATGGTATTATGACGAAAGACAGCAGAGAGACTATTTTTCACTTAGGACTTGGCCCTCCCTGGCGACCTTAGGACCGGGGCATAGTGGAGAGGGTTTCTCCTTGAATGAATGTCACAAAATTCGATGAGAGTGGGAGAGGAAAAGAAAAAGTTAGAGGGATGTCGCGGGTTTGTTCACGGGGTGTGATTTGTTGTTCAGCCACTAATGCCGCTGGTCGGCCGCCGGAATGACACCGACACCGCCGGCGCGCCGCATCACGTGACAGACGCCAGCCGCCCTCGCCCCGCCCGTCAGGCGGAGCTCTGCTGTAAAAGCATTGTCATACAAAGCCACGCACTTGCCGTCCATTAAATACAATATAAGTGTTCTCACTGCTTTACCTCAACGAAAAAGTGAAAGAAATTACTGGGAACGCTGTAGCTTCGTTCGACCGGCGCGAAAAATACAAAAGGTGCCACAGACCTTGTACATGACTTCTGATCGGAACATGCACACCACAGGCAGGTGCGGCAGACACAACAGTATGCTGGTACATCCACCACAGGCGGCCCTCCGGGCCGCCACCTAGTTAAAAACAGTGATTTTAGGTACATTCCTTAACACACTTTTTTTTTACTAGTTAGAGTAAAAGGACAAAAATGCCCTCGGATTCTAGACTTCTGTAATACTCGATATATCAGCTCAGAATCAAGAGGGTAGCTTCTTGTAGTCTTTGTGATCAGCGCCGTATACTCAGAATCTCCAGAGGTGCCGTGAGAAGTCAGTTATTATGGTCGCAAAGTCAGTGGCCGCATCGAGTCCAAGTCGAGAGCGAGCGATCAGTATAGACCGCAGTGAATTACCATATGAAACAGACCAGCACGCCTTCGACTTGTAGGTAATATTGACACCTTTGACACCTTATGCTCAGATTCAACTGGTCGATCTAGCTATCGCATGTAACTCGGTTGTGTCCGGGCCTTTTGCAGAGGCCACAGATCGTATCACGCTTGGCCCTCTCGTCCGCACCCCGGACCCTGCGCTTGATTGGACGTCCTGTACGTCTGGGGAATCGTGGCGGAATGATAATGGCACCTTCTTCTTCGCCAGTCGAGTCACTATCGTCCCCATCATCCGTGACCTCGTGTCTTGCACACGACGTGCCAACGACGCGTGTCAGACTTACGGAACGTCGAGCTGGTTCTGGTCATCAGCGCATATCGATAGCCTGCATCCGTGAGCTCCTTCTTTTCGTAGAGATTTTCCCCCTTCTTGAAACAATGTTCCATTGTCGAAAGTCGGTGGTGACTTCGGCGTCCGGGCCGGGGGCGAGATGCGGAAGGAGACCAACGTCGATGCGCGAACTCGCGCGCCTCGACGCGTCGACGATCGATGAGGCCCCTGACTTTTCGACCGTGATAACTGACTTCTCACGGCACCTCTGGAGATTCTGAGTATACGGCGCTGATCACAAAGACTACAAGAAGCTACCCTCTTGGTTCTGAGCTGATATATCGAGTATTACAGAAGTCTAGAATCCGAGGGCATTTTTGTCCTTTTGAGAAGGGCATTTCTGTCCTCATGAAAAGAAGCGAGGGCATTTTTGTCCTTTTCTCTTCTTTTTTTTTGGGGGGTGGGGGTTTCTCCTAGCTATAACCTTTCTTTTCTTTCTTTTTGTTTTTCCAGCGGTCACGTTCAAGTCTGACCACGAACGTCGAAGATGTGGAAGCTCAGTGCCGAGCAGTGCCAGTTCATCTCGCTCGATCGCTCTAGGGATATATCCAAGTTCATTTCAAACACTGCTTTCAACACTTTTAAATCGAGAACAAATTACAAAAAAAAAAGCAAAAAAAAAAAAAAAAAGCAGAAGCAAAAATACCATGTATGGTTCATGCTTCAAGCTGCCACACCCAATCAAACGACGACCGTCTTCTGCAAACTCTTAAGATCCGCTCCCGCTCCCGCTCCCGCCGAAGGCGCATCATCCACGTCCATCGCCCCACCATTTTGACCGTGTTGTTCCCCAACGACGGCTTTCAATCCCGCGGCTATATAAGCTTGTTCTTCCGCGACGCTCAATTGTCGTTCTCGATCATCGCCTAAGAGTCCGTTACGCGCGTTCACGCGAGGTACTTTATCACCACTCATGAGACCGCCCAAGAGGAGCGCGAGAGGAGCGATACCTACTTCACCTACGACGCCTGTTCGAGCTGCCGATTCGGCGATTCGATTGACTAGCGTATCGTCGGCGTAAATGGAGGGGGAAACGGGGTAGTACCTCCCTGCGAGATCGGTCATCAGGAGATCGACTTCCCGACCTGGGGTGAGGCAACGCCAACGATGGGCGGGGAAAGGAGGTGCGGGCATCTTCTTCCGGTAGTGCAACGTGTTGGGAGTTAATGTCCCCGTTCCAACACCGTTGTTGTTGAGTGCTTTGGTAGAAGTGATTGGGTTCGATGAGGAGGAGGCTTTGAGCGCTTTCGAGGCGACGACTCGTTTGTTCGCTTTCATCTTCGTATCGCTCGATTCGGCCGCCTCATCCTCCGAAGACGATTCGTCCTCGCTCGACGAATCAAAAGCCAACCCATTCGATCGAACCCATTCGTTCTGATGGCCGTTCAACAACATGTTCGAAAAAGCCCCCGCAGCGGTCGTGTTCAAGCCATCGTTGCCGTTGATTTGGATCGGTAGTTCTTTACCATTGTTGTTGTTGTTGATCGCGTTCTCGAAATCCATCGTTGCGTCATCGTCACCAAAGATATCGTCATCCGAGACGTAGTCTGCCGGCATACCGTCGTCCGCAGCGAGGGTGATTTCGTTCATCTCGTACACCTTTCCTCGCACGAGTAAAGGGCAATCCCGTCCTCCGCGGGCGAATTTGGTGATGTGCAAGACGAGCGAAGTCGGCATTTGTAAAGGCGAATGATCGATGACTTGGGCTTCGACGGAAGAAGGCAGTTCGACGTTGGAGGCCAGTCGCACGACATCGCCGACATGGATGAGTTCGGGTCCGTAAAAGACGAAAGCGTGCGAGAGGAAACGTGTCGTCGGTCGAGCCATGAACATCGATCGTAATGCGCTCAGCGACGATTGGCCGCCGTTCGAGAGTGAAGGGTCCGGAAGGAGGTGGGACCCCGTTTCGATCGTCGGCAGGGAACGAGTTTGAATCGAGGCGAAGAACTGGCCCGTCATGTAAGCCGAGAGGAAAGCCGCTCGAGTGGCGTGAATGCCGTTCGCGAGCAGGTCGCGCGTCCATTGACGCGAATGAGCCACTTCGGAGCCTCCCAGTGCGATTGCGTTCGACATTTCCTCCGAGGTCAGACCGGCGGCGATGTAGCCCAGCCAGGGGACGACTTCGTTCGCGGCAAAGGTGCGCTCAGGCTGGTCGAGTAAAGCGAGAAACTCGATGCGGTACTCAACGAGAGGCGACAATTGCGATTTTGGATTGGGTTTGACAGTACGTCCTCGGATGATGGCCGGCCAATGGCTGAACCTCGGTGTCGCGGGGGCGTTGGATCGGCGTCGAGTCGCATCGGCAGGCGGTAACAGTTCGAGCTGGGCCAATTCTTCGTGTGTTTTGGCCCATACAAGCTCTCCCACTCGGCACCATGACGGATGATCAATATCGGCGGTCTTGTTCGCCAGCCAGGGTGAATGCACGACCGCGACTCGGTTCGGATCGGCGGCTCGCATCTCGTGGGCAAACTGGTCAGCTCGCGATTCGAGTTCGTTCGTCGCTACGAATGATGATCTTCGGCCACTAGAAGCTGCCGGGCCTTTCGCAGCGGTACCGTTCGATTTCGTCGGGACGCCTTTGGTCCTTGCTGCTGCTGCTGCTGCTGCTTTCGTCCCTGTCGGTGCGTGCGGTTCAGACCCTTCGTCCTCGTCCATCAAGGAGCTCGCATCATCCTCGTCCACAATTCGGGCTTTGCCTTTGGTCTTTTTGGTCGGTGGGGCAGACACTGCTGCTGCAGCTGCGGCTGCTGCGGCTGGTGGCGCGACAGGCCGTCTTTCGTCGCCACTGTTGTCGGAGGCAGTGACGTTGACCGTCCGCTTCTTCTTGTTCTTGATACTGTTGGAGCGAGCGGTCGAGGAGGAAGCAGCATTGGCCTCGGTCGTCGCTGTTGGGGTTGCTGCGGCTGATGTCGAGGCACCGGCATTGGCGTTTGCGGCAGCGGCGGCGGCGGCGGCGTTGGCGTTGGCGTTGGCGTTGGCGTTGGCGTTCTTGGAGACGACCTTGCAGCCATCGCAGGTGCATGTGCCGATACTACCGTGCAAGAGCCAACTGATATGCTTGCCCAGGGACAGTGCCGATCGAATCTTTCGACCGTTGTGGCCTGGATGAAGTGATGCGGACTAGAGTCAGCGCTAGACTGCCATAAGGTGGGGGGGGGGCATCAGATGGCGAGACTTGCCAAAGATGAATCGATCGAGTCGAAGCTTGTTGTTCTTTTGTTGTGCCTGTGTCGGCGGGGGTCCCGACTTGGAGACATCTTTGGGGTGGGTGATTTGCTCAAAGAGGCCGTACTGGCGAGGGAGGTTGCCGAGGATCCAATGCGCCGCGCCATGTTCTGTTATTGCAAGTCGGTTGCGTTGGTTTGGCAGAAATCATCCGGGTGAGGCAGGCGTCAGAAAGGTGGTTGATTTGCGATTTGTTGATCGGGAGTACCGGGGGCGGTGAGTGGCAGGCCCGTGAGTGGCAGGCCCGTGAGTGTATGCAGGATTTTTCAAGCACGGATTGCCAGAGGCGGGGGAGGAACATGAACAACGTCAGCGAATGTGATCAGTGAAATTGAGACGGTGTGGGACATGAAGGAGCTGCGACTGCACTGCTCGGAGCCCCATCCACGGTCATGGACCGCCGATCGGATCGTGGATTGCGAAAGCGGGCTGGCGCGGCGACGGGCGGGCGTCGTGTGCCCGGTGCGCGTGCCCGGTGCGCGTGCGCGAGCGCGGCGGTGACCGGCGGCGGTGACTCGGGCGGCGGCGACGGGCGGCGGTGACGGGTTGCGCGTCCCGAGTCCGGTCCGGTCCCGGGCAACGACCGAGCTCGCAAATTCCCAATTCCCAATTCCCAATTCCCAGCTCGTACCCCACACACGGGTCGGCAGCTCCGTCCAGCGACTGACCATCGTAGAGACCCATGTCCTTGGCCAACCAATCGCCGGCGGTCCTCCTCCACAGCACGTGCTTGTCGTTCTCCGGTGCGAGCAAGGTCATGTCCTCGTCCTGCTGCGGCCACCGCTTCGAATCGCCATCGCCAAACTCGCTATCGATGCTGATCGTGTTGGGCGTGTCCTTCGTCGAGTGGGCCACGGTCGTGATCGAGTACTTGTCCTTCAGGGGAGGGCCACGAGGTGGGAGGTGGATGTCGCGAGGCGCTCGTTCCGTCTTGGTCGGTGCGACGGGCGAGTCCATGTTGTTGGCTGGGCGACTACTACGACCCCGTCGAACGACGACACGAGAATGGGAAGAGGGGTAGGTGGTGTGCTGCTATTGTTGGGTGGATAGGGTGAAGTGGAGTGGAGATCAGCCCTCGAAGGGGGAGCGTCAGCCGCACACGCCCACGCCCTCGCCTGCCCTCGCCCGCCCCCAGCCGAGCCTCGCAGAGCCGCGCGTTGCCCTGCGTTGCCCTGCGTTGCCCCTGGCAGTGTGCCCAAGCTGGCTCAGGTTCCTCTCGGTGCCCTCACTTGTCACGGCGTGGCTGCGCAGGCGCAGGGCTCAGCTCGAATCTCGGCGTTCGAACCCCGGGGCCGCCGGCCTGCCGTCGATTCGACCGTGTGCACGAGACGTCTGGACTGATGTCACAGTATCTTGATCTTGGTCGTACACAACCAAAAAATCACGGATACTACCCCTCGGAGAAAGTCGAATTTCGTTCGAGAAAGTTGAGTCCGCCGAGTCGGATCCAGAATCGCCGATCGGCCATAGGATCGAGATCTGGGAGAGCTAATAGATTATAGGGGTCGTCATTGCCCTCGCCCAATTGGTTCGCTTCGTCGTCAGTCCAAGGGCCATTGGGAGCAAAAACATTGGACTGTTTTCAATTCGGTTTCGTAATTTTCCCAGGGGTCTACTCGCGAAGCAGTGCTCATGAGAATTACCATTTGATAATTCGCCGCTTGACCTAGATCGCAATAGGTAGCGGTACTAGTACCCGAGATTGACGCCGGCACCACTTGTTCGATACGACAAGACGTTTTTGGGAAAAAAGGCAAAGGGTAACATCAGCGAATGCGACAACTTTGCCGTCCTGAAAGCGCGATCCCACTACTACTGCAACATCAATCGATCCGACTTGAACGAAAACGCGCGCCGGGTTGCAGGGTCAAGCACGTGACGTTGCGCTGGACGGTAAACACCGCGCGAGGCGGCGCGAGGGCTCTTCGTACTCTCGCGCTCCGATTCAAACACGCCGATTTTCCACCGCCCGGTCGTTGTATCAGTCATACGAGTGGGTCCCAAACTGTAGCCTTGACTACGAACCTGTCCTCCGCACTGACCTCTTCTTCTCCCACGACTGTGCGCTCAAGTGTTTCCCGCGCTGGAAACGCCGTCGCGCGTGCTCCGTCGACTCGATGACCTCGAGCAAGAATCCTTACCGGACCTGCCCGACCTCCCTTCCATGCTCGATCAAGACGACGAAGATTCCACCCCCGAATCACCACCCCGTCTCATTGTAGCCGGTCGAGTGAACCCGTCTGAAGGGGAGGACGAATCGAGTTCGATGATCGAACCCCGTCAAAGGGACGACACGCCTTTCACTTCAACACCTTTACCTGCTTCGGCCATGACGGCCAAGACGTCTTCTTCGACGCAACACATCTTGAGATCGAAGGAATTGTTGATGACGAGTAAATCGACGACCTCGACGGCGACGACAGGCTCGAATCGGACGGTCGTGCCGCTGAACCCTTCGACGCGATTCAATCAACATCTAGAGTCCGACTCCGCAACTCAACACCAGACCATGTCCGACAAGCAGAAAGGGACCCAACCCTTGGTCGACGAAACGAGTGTGATCGAGTCGCGTCATTCGGGTGGCTTCGAAGGTCAGGGTTTCACGGATGAGGATGAGATGGTCGTGCTTAGTTCTGGGTCGGGAACGGAGAGCGATCGACCTTTTTTGGCGCGAGCGTCATCGTTCAATCGACCTTCGCAACTCCACGATGAGGATCACGACGATCAAGATCTGACCACTTCTTCTTCCGCTGCGTCTTCTTTCACCGCCGACAACGAGATCGATTCACCGGTCGCGACTCGCGCTCAACCCGAGGCTCGTCAACGCGCCGTAAGGATCGCCAACAACACCTCCCCTGAACGTGAACGCCGAGCGGTCCTGTCCTCCATCATCGATTCCCCCGAATTGGGTCGAAGAGGTTCCATGGATGCGCTTTCGAAAGATTCCTTCCCCTCCCTCTCGAACCTCTCGACACCACATGCGAACTATTCGCACAACGCTTACAGTAATGCGGCGAATGCCGATCCCCGAACCCCACTCGGTCGATTATACGCCACCCCTACCGGAAGCCCCGATTCGGTCGAAGGGTTCGTCAAAGCGATCTTACCACCTTCGTCTTCCCCTGCGGCGGTCAGGAGGGCTCAACACGTATTGACCACGCTCAAGTCAACCTCGAAACCGATCTTGAAGAAAGGGACACCTCATCCCCAAAGGTACAGGGGTCGTCAACTCGTTGATACGCCCTTATCCGTCGCTTTGCAAAAGAAGATGAACGACGTCTCACCGGGGGAGGAAAGAGCGGTCGAAGAAGAAGAAGAGGATAGTATCGAGGCACCTCATTTATTACAAGACGAATCGACCTCGTCGTCCAATGATCTGACGACTTTGCATAGGGGTAATACGTCGTTACCTTCAGGTGGAGCGACGGGCTTTGCTGTCGCCGGACCGGGAACGAGGGTCGATCGCTTCGATCATGTTAAACTCAATGCGTACCTTCATCAATTCAATGGCACCTTGACGGCGGAGAATGTACAGCTTACCAAGAACTTGGGCGACAAGACCAAGGAGAATGAGCAGTTGAGGAAGGAGGTAATGAGGTTGAGGGAGATTAGCAGTATGGTTGGTGGGTCGAGGGTCGGGGATGATACGCGGGAAGAGGAGGGAGAGGGCAATAGCTCGAGGGTGGAAGCGGTTTTGAATGGATTGGTGGAGGGGAGGAACGAGGGACCGTCGAGGCGCGTTCAAGAACTGGAGGAACTCGTCGATCGATTGCAGAACGAGCTCGAGGATAAGGACCGACAACTCGTCGAACGCGAGGACAGAACCCACGTCACCGACGCTGGTGACGAACGCCGTAACTTCAAGGTCGAACTCGAGGAAAAGGTGGCCGAGAACGAGCAATTGGCCTCGGCATTGGAGGATGCGCGATCGCGCGTCGACGAGCTCTTGACCGAGCTCGAGAACCAAGAGGCCGGATTCGCGCAGAAGAACTCGGAGCTGAACCAGGAGCTGTGTACGATCATGGAGAAGCAGGATAGCGATCTACAGGCCACGAGGGAGCAGTTGACGGATGCGAGGCAGGAGATCGAGAGGTTGCAGGTCAAGGCGGGCGATGATTCGGATCGGCATGTCGTGCTCGAACTCAAGGAGGAGATTCGGCGATTGCAACACCGCGTCGATGAGCTCGAGTCGACAGTCGAGCAGAAGGAGGTCGAGCTCGACGACCTGAAAAAGAAGCAAGAAAATCTGACCGAGTCCGAAAGCGAGCTCAAGCGCCAAGTCGCCGAACAACTCGAGAACGTGCAACAGATCGAAGAGGCGCTCAACGAATCGGCTCAGCAACTTGTGCAGCACGAGGACGAACTTGAGTCGCTCAAGGTGCAGCTGGCGGCCGAGAAGAACGTCAACTCGACGCTTTCGGCGCAGATCTCGCAACTCAAGTTGCCCAAGGCCAAGAGCCCTCTGGCAAACGAGGTCTACAACAGCAACAAGGACTCGATCATCGGCTCGCTCGAGGAAGAGCTCCAAGTCGCGCAGCAAGAGGTACGAGACCTCAAGCAGCGTCTGCAGCAGCGCGAATCGCGAGAAGAGGTCGAGGTGCAGCAGCTCAAGATTAGGACGCTCGAATCGCAAAAGCGTGAACTCGAGGATCGCGTCTCGTCGCTCAAGTCTCAGGTGACGATGACGTTCGGCTCGCCGAAGAGGAACGGCTCGACGCCTGATAGGTCCAACTTGTTCCGCTCCATCATCGGTCTCCAGACGCCCAAAACCCCTGGACAGATGCTCGGCAACGTAAATGCGCTCGCATGCACCCGGCTCTCTTGCAAAAGCTTTAACTGACTCTGAATCTATTGTGTCAAACTAGATCACCGCTTGGTCCCCCGGATCAGCGGCCGACGAGACTATTCAACCGCTCTATTCGCACATGCAAGAACTCGTCCAACTCGTTGACGACCTGCGCGAGCAACTCGCCGCCACCAACGAAGACGTCGACAAGAAACTGAACCAGCTCGAGATATCTGGCTCGGGGACGATCGCGCTGGCTCGGGACCTCGCACAGGCGAGGGCGAGGATCGTGCAGCTTGAAGCCGAGTTGGAACGTTTGCTTGGTGCGAATGGGTCGCTCGAGCGTGTGAGGACGAGATTGATGAGTTTGTCGTGCCCTGGTTGCGAGCACGTGTTCGATGCGACCAAGATTGTACGGTTGCGCGTCGACAAATCGGGCCTGACTTTTGAAGAGTGAGTGATGGTTCATATTGTGGCTTTCTTACTGGGTACTGTGGCTGACCAGTCATCTGCATTCAGATCCGAGACGTCACCCAAAGTCAGCGAATCGCTCCGTTCGGCGCTCGCCGGTGTGAACGTCAAGCTTTCGCAACTCGAATCAGAAAACGCCGTCCTCGTCGAATCTTCATCCCGGGCACGTGACCTCGCAGCCGACAAATCCGCCCTCGCCAAACAACTTTCCGCACTGCAGAAGGACTTTGCTCAAGCGCGATCCGAGATCGTGGGGCTGGAAGTCGACTTGCAAACGGAGAGAAATAGGTTGAAAGGGATGGCGGACGAGCAGGCTTCGTTGCGCACGGCCAAAGGTGCGCTTGAAGCGCGCTTGAACACGACAGAAACCGTGAGCACCTTTATCCCCACCTCCCCACCCCCAGACAGCAGTAACAAGTGCTGATGTGGTGTTTCTCATTCAGGAGCTTCGCGCCCTCAAATCTTCTTCTCGAGCCGACCCCAGCGAGCTCGCCCAACTCCGCGCAGACAAGTCCAGCCTCCTGGACGAGCGCGCCGCTCTCGTCGCCCAGCTCGGCTCGATCGACTCGCAGACCCATCGTGTCGCGACTTCGTTGAACGCTAAATCCTCCGCGCAGGCTTCGATTCCATCCCAGCTTGATCAGTTCATCGCCGAGATCGCCCGACTCAAGAACTCGTTGAATGAGAAGGAGACGGCTTCACGCTCTTGGAGGGACGAGCGCAGTGACATCTTGAGGAACGTGGCTGGATTACAGATGGACCTGGTGAAGGTTCGCGAAGACGCGGTCAGCTTGGGTATGGATTTGGCGAATGTGAGACGGGAGAGAGATGCCTTGGGTGGCGGGGAACTTGCGCAAGCCCTCTTGAGGATCGAGTCATTGGAGAAGAGGATCAGGGATCACACCTGCGCTTCTAGGTGAGCATTCACTCCAAATTGCCAGCTTCGATTTTCGGAGACACTTACTCTATGCCCTGCTTTGATACCACGATAGCACCACCGCCACTAGCCAAGAACTCAAAGCGCGTCACGCCAAGGAAGCAAAGGGTCTGCTCGTCATGATCCGCTACCTCAAGCTTCGGGTGTCGAGAGAGTTGGCATTCCGGAACGATTTGACGTATCAGAAGGAGTACCTTCAAGCAATGGTCAAGGACAAGCAAGCTACGTGAGTCAGATTAGTGAAGTTCAGGATTTCCCACGGACTGAAGGCTCTTCGCTGATGGGCAATGGCTTTCTATGGCAGTATCGATCTCGTCATGTCCCAACTCAGCCTACCGCCATCCTCCCCACCTTCGGATCACCGGCCGTGGGGAAGCAAACCGACACTCAAAGCCGCCGTTCTCGCAGTAATCTCGCTTCGGAGAATGAGGTAATATTTACGGGCTTGTGCGACCGTTCCCACACATACTGACATGTGAACGATAATGCCCTTCCCAGCCGTGCAAGTCAGCAATGGCGCGAAGCGAGTCGAGGCAAGGACAAGCTCCGAAACGAGGCGTACCCCGCCGTTCGAGGCAAGGCGTTCGTTCCCTCGACCACGGCATGAGCTTGAGCGGCTCGAATTTGGCCACATTGTTCTCCCCGCTGTGTTGTACTTGTCTTGTGAAGTTTTTGCTGCCTTCTCCCTTCGTCTATTCTGCACGTCTTGTTTTACGATCCTCTTTCCATGAGTAATGCAGATTTTACAATACCCAACTTTCTCATACCGAGGACTTTCAGCCACTCACATGTTGAAAGTATCTTCTCTCTTTTTCACTCTCACTGTCTTTCCCAATCGCTTTCCTTGTATCCGCACATGTGCGGACATGTGTCGCGGCCGACTTTGCCGGCTTTCCTTCCTGTCTCTTCTTCGTCTTCTTGACGGCAGTCTCGTAGAGAGCTGCGGAGATTTCACAGGCCTCGCTTCTCTCTCCTTCTCTTGGCTTGTGAAAAGTACCGCTGGTGCGATGCTCATGACGTATCGTACCGAACAGGACTCAAGACGCCAACACACCGGTTTCCGGGCATTTTGTTGGAGGACGAAAGGAGTGCAGTGCATAAGAAGATGCGAAGCGAACTGAGAAACCGGGAAAATTGAGAGCGAAATCTGAGGTGCTATGCCTCCAGGCGATGATTTATATCTTTGATGTCGAGGCCCATTCGGTGTCAAGCGTGAAGCAGCTTCTTCATCTTCTTGCGCAGCGTGCCACTGCCCTGACTGCGTGACAAGGCGGCGTGCTCGTAAACATCTGCTAGAACACTTTTTGCACGGCACCTTTAGCTGGAATGCTGCAGATGTTGACCGACCAAGAGGTATCACTCGCCTTCATGCTCCGCCGTGCTCGAAGTTCCGCGTGATTCGGAGCGGGCGAGATCGACGGGGGCCGCTTGCTCGAATTGCTTGTGATCCGCGGCCAAATCGACAGAGCCAGCGGGTCCAGGGAGCGCAGATGGGATAGCAGGAGGTGGGTGGCGATGCTGTAATCCAGAATTGAAGTCAAAGGAGTATTGATAACACCCATCTCCAGAATAAGTCTGCTTACAACCAAAGTTTGCTGCGGCTGCTGGACGAGCGCGAGGCTGACTCCCGTAGACTCCTGTTCCGAAGCCTCGGTCGTAGGAAACTTTGCGAAACGGTCCTGTGAGGTTCAGAAGCTCATCATCGGAACGCCACCATTCGGCTCGGAGAGGACTGCAACCCACCCTGAGATCATCAAAGGAGCTCCTAGCCGGCGTCGATTGTTCCTCACGCTCGTGATAAGGTTCGTGATGGGGTTTGTACCCGACAGACGATTGGAGATGTTCGGGAAGCGCAGGAGCAACCGACCTCGAAGGAGAGAGTCCACCTGATTGTTGATCAGGCTGAACAAAATTCCCTTGGGCGTTGTGTTGTACTTCTTGTGGGCGAGCAATCTTATCGAGTGTAGAGCGCGCCGCATGTGAGTGTTGCGTCGAGGCCGGGATCGAGCTGGCATCGTCCTGTGTCTCCCAAGAATCACGAATGACGTGTAATAAGTTTGGTGTAGGGTGAAACATAAATACCTAATACCTACCTGGGACTGAACGTTGGCAATTTGGTCAAAGTCTTGCAAGGGTTTCGCGTCTCCTAGCTGACCTGCACTGCGAGCTTGGGTTGGCGACGAGCGGTGGCCGTCTCCGCGATGGCGCTTTTTGTTGACCGCATGTGATGAATTATTCTCTGGTCAGTAGCTGATATGCCAAAAGTCAACGACTACGTCGTACCTGTTCATCTCGACCTTTTGCCTTGCGAGAAACCTCACCCGAACCAGACTTCTCCGATGCATGCTTCGACCCTTGTGCGCGTTGGGCATGTTGCGGAGACGGACGGCGAACCTCATCTGCGTGCGCGGCCTCAATCGGCTTGACTGATTCTCCCGACAGAGTAGAGTCCTCTACCACGTCCGTACTGCGGCCCTTCCTGTCTGATCTCTCGCCGCGCGACGAAGAATCACGACCGTCGAGGTTGGAAGACTTGCTCCTTGCGGGTTGCGCATCACCCCCTTCGTCATTAGAACCGACATTGCTTGGCGTCTGTGGCATTGGCCCCCCTCATTTGAGCGCATGATAGTGTAAGAAGCGGTACACCTTCTCACCTTTGTTTGAGGCACCGAGATCTTTTCATCCTTTGAGCCCGAGAAAGAACGATCGATCTCCTGCTCGAGTTGAGCCCTGAGGGTTTCGGACTCATCCATCATGGCCGTCGCATCTTGTTCATTCACCTTGGGAGAAGACCAGTTGAACCAATCGCTCAATCTATGTCCAAGCGTCGTTCTCGTCGTAGCTGAGTTGGTGGCCTCCTCGACGGCACCAACGGTTTGGTCCTTGACGTTCGAGGCAGTGTTCATCGCCGTATCCACACCCTCACGCACCGCACTCATACTCGATTCGGCGAGCTTCTGCACGGTCGTCTGGGACGCAGCTTGAACGACGGTCGGAGCGGCGTCGAACGAAGCCGAAGTGGCGTTGGTCAAGGTTTCGACGAGCAGACTTGGCAAGGTGATGACCATCCCTGCAAAGCCTTGGATCAAATTGGACATATGCGAAGGACCGAATTCGTCATCGTCATCACTCGGTTCATTTGATTGGTGGCCGCGTGAGTCCAAGTTGGGGGTCGCGCTGCCACTGCCACTGCCACTACCACTGCCGCTGCCACTGACAGGGTGGGAGCTGGAGCGCGAGCTGGTGACGCTCTCGCCTGAGCCTGCATGCGTTGTTCCAGGGGCTTTGGCGGCAAATTCACGACGATGGATGGAACTGGGGCCAGGCAGAGAACGATTTGAACGTGGGAGATCACTGGAGCGAACATTTCTTGCAGTTCGCTGAGGAGGGTCGTCTCCACTTGAGCTGGAAAAGGCCGAGACTGGGGGCGTCAGAGCAGCCTCAGTGCTAGAGGGCTGAGAGGGGCCAGCGGCAGGGTGATCGGTCGGCGACTGGCTCGTAGGGGAGTGTGACGCCGATTCGGTCATGGCAGAGGCACAGGGGAGGAACGGGTCACGTCTCGTGACGTGTGACGACACGTTGAAAGCGAGAAGGAGATGCAGGGTGCAATGCAGTGGCACGAGTATAGGTCGAGGACATCCTCAAGTCACACCATGGCGACCCCCTCTCCCTCCCCTCAGGCAGCCGGGCTTGCTGTGCATCACGTGCAACTTCGACAAACAGGAAAGGAGGTCCGTTCGGTGATCGAATTCAAGCCCAATGGCTCCTGATCAGGAGCAGAATAAACCCGCTCCTGCGGGGGTAGACTCGTGATAACACATTATACCATGCCAAATGCTCTATAAACTGATCCGAGCGCAAAACTATTGGCAATACCGATCGTCAAACACACTAAGAACTTGAAAGGGGTCGTAATAAATAATAAAGTCGTAAAGCGAGTGTGGGAAAGAAGTGGTGCGATGGACGGTGCACATATAATAAGCCTGTGAGACGGTCTCAGCGAGACCTTTCTTCAGGACCTTCAGGCCACGCAGATTGGTAAACACTCGGGTCACTCGACGTTCGTTCATGCTTCCACGAACTTCGGCGGGATGAGAACTGCGTCGAACTCGCTCGGCTCTCGTCAGGGATAGGAGCGGCGCCCGATGAGGTAGCACCGTCGTCGTTGGTTGAAGTGAATAATGATCTGATGGCCGGTCCAAGCGACCAGACGCGACGACGAGCTTGGAGACGTTCTGAGAGGATCGCCGGCTCAACGCACCGCGCGGCGACGATGGGGGCATCGGGAAGTTCTTCCACCGCAGCTGGACCACTCATAACGCGTCGAAGTCGTCCAAGATCGTCGTCTGAGCTCTGATTGGCTTCTTCGGATGATCGAGCGCGAATCGTCGATGCGGCGACGGTCCATTCATCCGTATCAATGGTGAGCGAGGATCGACTGCCCACGTTCGGTGCGGAGCGATTGCGACGCAGCGTCGCCATAGATGACACCGAGTGGATCGTCTGCGAGTCCGAGTTGGCATCATTGACTTGAAGGAGAGAGCCGACCGAAGTATTCGCAAGTGACGATGCCGGAAGAGGTGAGTGGGGTCGAGGCGTCTCATCTAGCACGTCCGCTGACGGATCATCAGCCTCGACTTGGACAGACTCCTCCACTTCGACCGAAGGCGGCAAAGGAAATTTGCTGACCGCCGACCAGGCCGAAAGACCACTTCCACGAGATGGATGAACCGAAAGTATCCCATTTGAGCTCGCGGTTGACGTTGCGATCGAAGCTGCATCATCGGCAATAAAGTCTCGGAAGCGAGGAGGAAGCAGTTGGTTTGGTGCGAACGTAGTTCGAGGTGAAGGCACGGCCGAAGGGGACACGTCCGTTGGGAAGGGCGACGCCATTGCGAGCTCTTCTTCGTCATCGCCCATGTCGAGATTCGAAAGCGACGGCTCGCGAGAAAGCGCCAAAGCGACTTCAATGAACATCGAGGAGGTGCTCGTGACCGAGTCTGGGTGCAAATCGCCCATCATCGTCGCGCGCGGCGAAGAGATGGGCGAGAATGAGGGTAGGACGGATTCATCATTCGGCACTTGCGACATCCGCGGAGCTCGGCGAGAAGGGATGATCGTAGAGCTGTCGCCGCTCGAGTCGAAAAACAGAAACGAAGCATCGGTGCGCTCCAGAGATGCGGCGCCATGTGATGCGCTCAGGTCGAGGAAGGACGGCGGCGGAGGTGACGAGCGCGAAGACGGCGTCGCTGGACGCACAGACCCAGATGCCATGTCTTGAACATGTATAAGTGTGGGAGCAGCCCCAAGGAGAGTTGAAATCGACGATAGACGTGGTTCGTCGGCCGACGGAGGACGAGACGAGGTATAACCATGCTCCAGGGGTTCAGTTCCAAACGGTGATTCCTCCCGCACCGAAGCCGGACTACCAGACCCTTCTTCGGCCGTTGCGAATGAGTCGCTCGTCTCTGATTCGTACGTGCGAGATGTGGCCGTTTGCTTGAGAGGTGGCGCGCTCATCCGAGTCGAGAAGGCGGAAGGCACTGCAGGCATGCCGCAACTCTGTGCGCCGCTCGGTTCATAGAGCACCGGCGAGATCTGAGCATCGAGATCGGGAAAGAATGAGGTCGTCACTGTCACAGGGTACTGATCCTCGTTGAACGCATCCGAATTGCGGCGCGTCGGCGGTGGTCGGAAGAACTGTCGAGTTATCGGATGAGTGTTGTGAGCAAGCCGATTCCGTCAGAATTCAGAGTAGCAGGACTACTCACAAGATCTTCAAAAGTGTGCCCTTCTTCATCCAGGTTCAGCGAGCCCTCTGCCGTGCTCGGTGGTCTAGAATGGCTGCTATTCCTCGAAGCCGATGCCGCGTGCCCGATCGACATCTGCGAATGAGGACTCGAAGAAGCCGCCGTGGGTGCCCTCTCAATTGGTGGCGACTGTGGCAAAGCGAAAGTGGACGAGTCGCGCAGACTGCCAAAGTAGTCCGAGATCGGAGAGGGGAGGACGTCACCCAGAGTCGGGGGATCGGAGTCGACGGAATAGAATGATTCGGTCGCTGTCGAGTAACCCCGCCTAGTGACGCCGAAGGTGTCGTCCCCAGAGTTGGGAGGGTTAGAGTCCGAACCTTTGACTCGACGCAGCGAAGCCAACGAGGGCCGACCCAACGGCGAATCGGTCGTGTCGGACGCAGGTAGACTGTTCCCAGCGTTGAGGCTCAAGTACGGCGCATCAGAAGTCGCTCTGCTGCGGGGCGATGGCAATCGTATCTCTGAGCGCGGTAAGGCTCCAGCGCTGGCCGCCGACGTCGATACAGTCGGCTCGTTCCACGGCAGAACATTGCAGGAGTACGCAGTAGCATGCGCAAAGTCGGTCTGGAGCCTTGGAAGCTGGTGTTCGTGCTTCTTTCTGTCGTGAGGCGAGAACGCAGTCACCCCTGACGGAATCGGTGGTGGCGGGCGAGTAGGACGGAGCGATGCAGCATCCTCAATCGGACTCTTCGCGGGTGACTCGACCGGTCTCGATGGTACCAACTTTTTTCTGTGGCTTGGCGAGTTCAAGCGATAGAGGCCGCGTACATTGGGCGAGAGTATGGCAGGCTTGTCGAAGGGCTCCTTCGTACGGGAGGCGTCTTGCTTCGGATGGCTTCGTTGATCTTCCAACAATGTCACCGCCGAGGATCCCAAGCTGCCTTGGGCTCGAGACTTTTGCCCAAGGCTGTCAAGCCGTGGCGGTGGGATGAGAGGACCTTGGGCAGCTTGGGAACCGCTCGAAGAGTCCCGCCCTTGCGAATGCTTGCGCTGCCCGTAGAGCGCTAGTCCCCGAAGCGCAGGCGCCGAGTCGCTAGGTCGAAGCGTGCGCCTCACGCCGATATCCGACCCTGAACCACTGCCGTGACGGTGATGACGACGTTGTCTTTGACGGCGGGCACCGTTCCACTTGGCTCCGATCGCACTCGCCGAGGCGTCGCTCCATTCGTCTCGTTCTTTTTGAAATTCTTCCTGCTCGTGCAACACTCGTCGAACGCTGCCACAGTCTATCGAAGATGAGGAACGCAGAGTCTCGACGGGTCCAACGTCGAGGTCGGCTTCAAGTTCGAAAGCATGAAGACGAGGGTGCGGGTAGGTGAACGCTTCGGTCGACGAGCTTGGGGTGTGCGTGAGATGTGGGCCAGCAGGAAACGTCATCTCGATCTTAGCGACAGGTATCGAGGCATGCCGAGTTCGGCCGGAGCGAGAAATGTGCAGAGGGGCGATTTTTTGGTCCTCGACGTCCGAAGTCGCGGCCGAGGTCGGTTTCGTTCTAACTCTGCTGTGGGGTCGATGAACGGAAGACCCGTGCGTGTGGCCACTTGTTTCGTTCGAAGCGCATTTGATGATTGTCTTGGTGTTTTTGAAACTCCGAGTAACGGATCGGATCGGCGGAGGAAGCGGCGTATGTGAGGAGCTGGGCTCCGGCTCGGCGCTTGGGAGTGAAGGCCGACGAAGAGATGGGGCGACAGCATTACCCGAGGCTGCAAGATCAAAGCAGCTCGAAAGATCATTTGAAGATCGGACGGATCGAATTTTGCTGCTGCGTCGCTTGGGGGAATGGCTGTCGGCGATTAGGGGCGTCAATCCTCTGCGAAGAGAAGGTAAAATCGAAAAGAACGAAAAAGGTCAGAACCGCCGATTGTCATGTGTCGCAGAATGCGACAGTGCTCACAAGCTTGCAACATAGGATTTCTGAGTGCCCCTGTTTCCACTGAGGCCGTTGGATCGTGTCATAGGTGCTGAAGATGGTTTGGCTCCATTCTTACGCAAGGGGAAAGAAAACCTTGGGTCCAGAATGGCGGGTCCGGGGCCGGCCGATCCTCGCTTCTTCGCCGAGACGGACGCAACGTCTTCAGGAGGTGAAGACAAGGAGGCAGAAAGAGGTATGACGGTCTTCGGCGTCCATCCGACCTCTGAAGCGGTTCTATCTCGTGATCGTGGCTCCTCTTGAGACTGCTTCATGACCGGACTATAGGCGTAGGCGGATGTCGCCGGTGTCGAAAGTCCATCATCGTGAGAAGACGAGGACGACGAAGCTGTTCGGACGAGCGAGTTCGACTGCGTGTGATTCCTCGTGGTTTGACCAGAAGAGTACGTGCCGTAATCCTCGGTGCTCCGATTGGATTGGTTTTGCGTTCGCCGAGTCGGGGAGGAGAGCAAGGGCTTGTCGTTTCCAGGTACGGGCGGCACAATGACCCGGGTATGTAGGTTGTTCGATCCATTCCCTTGAGTCGAATGGTCGCACGGAAAAGGTACAGTAGCATCTGTTATTCAAGTTGGTCATCGGCAATAGACATGCAGTCACATGATGTCAGCTCCTTTCGCAGCCTTCCCGGTCTCTGACTGTTGACTGACCTCGCATCCCACCCGAGCCACCTTGTGGCAACGCCCTCACAAGTCGAGCATCTCTACCATCCGTATCAGCAGTCCCAGTCCTCCGTCTGGAGTTGCTCGTGTCGGGATTGAGCACCTTGTCCAGGTCGACGACAAGGTCTCCTTTCACCTTCGTGGTGAACGCCGGGTTCGTCGCACTAGCGGACGATGACAGGTCCACGTCCACGTCGGTTCCCCTTCTTGACATGTCCACGGCTTCGGGGAGCGCGATCACGCCCGAACACCAAGCCGCGATGGAAGCTGTCGAAGGTGAGAAGGAGGTGCACGTGAATGACGAAGAGGAAGTGGCCTGATGACGACGACGGCGCCGATCGTGGGCGATCGCCTTTGCGCGCGCCTCGGGACGTACGAACGCCAGGGGCTCGAGCGTCGGCATTCCAGTCGAAAGCACGGGCGCAAGCAAGAACTGCTGCTGCTGCTGCCGCCGGGACACCGCTCGACTCGACTCGGGCGTGGCCAAGAGTGTCAACGACGAAGAAGACGACGATACCGAGGGTGAAGGTATATCTTTGAGTGGACTCGAATCAGCGAGGGCAGGAAGAGGTAGTCGGCCGGAGGTGAACATGTCTTGTGTAGGTAAATGCCCGGTCTAAGAGTCAAGCTCCGGCCGAGGAGAAAGTGGCCGATATCCGCCCAGCCTCCGGCTGAGCTCCTCTTTAGTTGGCGTCACCGACGACCGGTGTCGAGGAGATTTCGGTTTGAAAGCTGACCAAAAAATCACCAAGGGCCCTTCAGTATTGCCATGTTCGGTCTGTAAAACGTTGTTTATGCCCACGAGATAATCACAGCACGGGGAACTCGGGCCTGTTCGTACCTTGAAGCGCTCGCTAGCTCGGATGAGGTGATGAGCGGGCGATCGGTCGCGCTTTCGGAAGTGCAAGTGCGCGCTGCAGCTGGCTCAGCGACCCGTCGCTCGTTCGAGTCGAGTCGAGTCGGTCCCGGCCTGCGGTCTCCGGCAGGATGAAGACAGCGGGACACAGATTACCCTTGCGAGCTATCCTTTAGCGAAGGAATCGTGTGGAATTGAAGTTGTTGACCAACGTCCCAGTGCTGGAAGAGAAGACCGGCGTCGACGAGCATGGAGAAGGGACGTCCAAACGTCGCGACGACGGCTCGAATGGAAGAAGGCAAAGATCTGAGAGATAGCCATCATTACCCCCGTCAAAAAGCCACGGTAAATAAAACCTGGTTTTCAGACGAAGTAACTAAGTTAGCCCTCCCTTCTATTAATGACTCACAATGAAATGAGAAGCTTTTCCAGCCGTTGCGAGGTCACAGCTTTTGTCAATTTGTGATCGCCCGCCCGCCCACGTACGCACGCGTGCCACGCAGCACACCTTTGCCGGTGACGACAATTCGCCGAGTGCGCATGGCACTCGGGCTAGGATTTGGCTTTCCTTCTTCCACGTTCGAGAGCATTATCATAATCGACACTTTGGACGGGTAGAGGGCGACCTAAGTTCTTACAATGGGTGAGTCGTAGGAAACAGCAATCTGCTTACAAAACGCTTGCGACTGTCTTCGTCGCTACCCCTGTACCTTATTCGACGTTCGGTGATCATCATCAGCACTTTACCGCGACGCGCTGGGGTGTGTGTGATATATGGCCGTTCGAAACTCAAAAGGAGATGAGCACCAGACAGTTAATTAAATGACTCTAATTCAACAAGCACTGGGGAAAGCGAAGCGGGAATCTAACTCTACAAGAGAGGGGCTTCCACGAGCGAATACACAAAGAGGATGACACAGAAATGGGCCCGCACGTATCCAATGCCGATCGAGGTCGGATCAGTCCGAGTATTGGGTAAGCTGCACGAAAATGGGTGAAATGGAAACGATCAGCTCGATGGCTAAACAGAAAGATAAAAAGTAGGAGAGAATGTTTGAAGCACGTACATCAAGTGTAAGGTTCTTGGATCCACCTCCTTGTCGGTACACACCCACGAGCGCCGCGGCTTGTTCGAAGAACTGCGATCATGACGCACGGCCAGCCATGCGTCGATCAGTGACAACCCTAAAAGTCTAATTTTTTTTGGCGGTCCGTCGACTCACTGCGGGCTTCAAGCTGATGACGATGAACTGGAAATCGGGCGAAGCGATGCTTTGCACGTAGCGAGCGACCCGTTGTACGTTGGTGTTGTCCAAAGCAGCGTCGACCTCGTCCAGAACAAAAAATGGCGATGGGTGGAAGCTGAAGCCAAAGAAGAGAAGTAGCGAATCAGCGTCAAAATCTTCGAATTGTGAATGATACATGGAGTATCACTCACGAGTGGATAGCAAACAAGAGCGCCAGAGCAGCCATCGTCTTTTCGCCTCCCGAGAGCTGGTCCATGTCTCGGAACCGCTTCATCGGCGGCATCGCATGGTACTTGATACCATGCAGATATGGCTCCTGTGCAGTCAAAACATTGATCTTTAATCAGCACCCACGCAAGAACACGATGTGGATATCTGCTCGCGACACACCTCGGAATCCTCGAGCGAGAGATAAGCGACACCCCCCATAGGTGCCGCTCGTCCCTTGGTCAAGTCCTTGTACACCTTATCGATCGATCCCGAGATGTGCTCGTACGCCGCGTTGAACAACTTGCACCTCTTCTTCTTCAGGTCCGAGAACGCCTCTTTGGCCTTCCTCGCTTCCTCGCGAGCTTGGTCGAACTCGGCGTCGATCTGACGGAAACGCGCTTCGGAATCACCAAGCTTCTCGATCGCTTTGAGGTTGGGTGACATCTTATCCATCTCCGTTTCGAGGTCGACGATCGCTTGAGAAAGCGCTTCGCCCATCTCGTTCGAGCCGTCTTCTCTTTCGTCATCTTCGAGTTCGTCGTAGTCGGGTACGATGCCGTAGTCGTTCGTCGTGACGACGGCTTGTGTCTCGTCTTCATCACCCTCGATATCCATCGGTGCGGCAGGAGGAAGAGCCTGCACCATGCACAAGAGGTCGTCAGCAGATATAATTGACTGATGAGACGTCAGGACGGCTTACCTCGTCGATAGGCACGGCGTTGAGCTTGCCCTTGACCAACGGCAAGTCGATCTCCTCGAGCTTGCACTTGCGGTAGATTGCAAACCGTTCCGATGACAGCCGTTCGATCTCGTCGTTCTATATGGGCCCGACAAGGAACTCACTCGTCAGTTTACGCCCAAATACACAGAGAACGAGAGACGTCGCACTCTGAACTCACGCAGTTCGCAATTTCTTTGAGCGTCTTCTCGACAACTTTGTAGCTCTTATTCCCTTCCCTGCGCACTTCATCCAACCGCTCACTCTTCTCCCTCAACACCGCCTCCAGCGCGCTCAACGTCTCCCTCAAACCTTCATTCCCTTTCTCCAGCGTCTTGAGCTCGTTCTCCAGCGCCTCCTTCTCCTCTTGCAAAGTCCCCAACGACGTTCTCGATTGAACGGCCATATTCCTCAAACTATCCAGCCTCTTCCTCGTCGTCTCGACGCGTTCCTTCTCGAATTTGATCGCGTTGTTCAACCGAGCGATCTGGGTCTTGAATTTGAGGTTCGCTTCGTTCGCGGCCTGCGCGACGCCGAGCTGTTGTTCTTCGTAATCGCGAATGGAGGAGACGCCGATACGACGACAAAAAGCGCGAAAGATCCCTTCTTCGGCGGAAGCGATCGTCGCTTCCAAGTCCTTGGCTTTCGAACTGAGCGAATCGATGTCCCGTTCGAGTTGGCTGACTTTGCCGTTCAGATCCTTGAGCGTGGTTTTGATCACTTTCAACTCGGAAGAGGTGTCCTTCAGTCGGGCGTTGATGGAGGAAAGGTCGTCGCGTAGGTTCGCGAGTTCGGAGGTGTAGATTTGGGTTTGCGAAATGAGCTCTTCCTCGACGTTGGCGCGGGGCTTGTTCTTGAGAATCTCGCTGAGCTTGCCGCGCAGTTCTGCTTCCTTGCGGCGGAGGGCTGTAAGGAAGGTTAGGAGGGAATGCAGGGTCAGAAGGGGGAAAAAGATCTTGAACGGAGGTGTTCAATAGGCACGCTCACCTTCAATCTCGCGATCCTCAAAGTGCCGGCCATTGCTGTTACTCGAAGCACCACCCGTGATCAAACCACTTCGATGAATGACGGTACCATCAAGCGAGACGGCCTTGACCTCTTGCCCCATCTCATAAACGACATGCTTCGCCACATTAATCGTATCGCACACCAACGCGTTCCCACACGCAAACTGCATCGCCCTTTCGACGCTCGTATCGAAGGTGATGACATCGATCGCGAGGCGGGCACCGCGAGCAAAGTTGCGATACTTGTCGTTCGCGGGTTTGGCGGTGATGGTTTCGAGGGGGATGAATGTCGCTTGACCCGCGCGTTGAACGCGCATGTACTGCATTGAGAAAGAGCGTTGCTTGAGATCAGATCCTCTTCAAAGTCCACTCCACCGCTACGAAAGGAAGAGCCCACCTCGATGCACTGAATCGCCGTCCTCTCGCTATCCACGACAATGGAATCGATGTTCCTTCCCAGGATGGTCGTCACCGCCAACGAATACTTGTTCTGCGTCGGCTTGCACAGATCAATCACCCTCCCCTTGATCCCGGGGAAAGTCCTCTTGAGTGCCGAGAGCGTTTCCTTGAACTTGGCGTCGCGTTCGGATTCTTGCTTCTCCGCGCCGGCTTGTTGCAGCTTGTTGAGTGCGTCGAGCAGCTTCTCGTTCAGCTCGGTTTCGGTTTGCCTATGACCCAATTCACGCCCCGTAGTCAGTAAGGAGCCGTTTCCCGCCTTGCAGCTAGCATTCACTTACGTCGTCTGCCTCTTGCGAGCCCTCAGCTCCTCGAGGTCGTTGTTGGCTCGGTTCAAGTTGGCCTGCGCCTCCTTGACCTTGGCATCAATCTGCTCCGGCGTACGTTCACATCAGTATCGATCACAGAAGGCCGTCGTATCAAGCCCAGCTCACCGCCGCCTTCTTCGCATTCAATCCCTCCTGCTCGGTCTCCAACTTGTCCCTCTTCCTCTGCGCCACCTCCACACTGTCCCTCTGCACGACCAAATTCGCATTCCTGCCCTTCAAATCCCTCTGCACACCCACCAACGCCTCTCTCTCCGCCACGGCCAAAACGGCCGCTTGGTTCTTGAGCCGATGGTAATCGTCGATATCGGCTTGGGACAAATCGATCCCTCTCGCTCGAGCTTGTTGAGCTTGTTCTTGCGCCGCTCGATCAGCGGCGCTCTGTACGAGTTGAAGATCCTCCTCCAAACTCGCGAGTTTGACCTCCCCCGCCCTCAAATCAACTTGAACTTTTTCAGCGTTCGTTTCCGCCGCGATCAATTTCTTTCGCGCATGAGCGATCCTCGCCTCGATAGCGACCAATTCGGGCCGACGTTCTTCCAATTCCTTCGAAGCGCGAAGGACTTGTTTCTCCTGTTTGGAGAACTCCTTTTGCGCCTTCGAGTGGTCCTTCTTGGCCAGTTTTTGTTGCTCTTCGAATTCGGCGTGGTCGGCGCGTAAAGTCGAAAGACGGGCATTCTTTTCGTCGATTTCCGAGGTGTTGGTTTTGATGCCTTCGGCGATATGGAACAACTTCCAAAGCAAGTGATGAACGACGGCGTCATCCTGGTAGAGAGAGGGGGGGCAAAGCCAAAGTATGACAATCAGTTTACGCGCATTTGACCCTCACGCTTCGAGAAGAAGAAAAAAAAAATCGTACCTTTTTCTGCATCAACGACTTCCACCTCTCGGCCTCTTTTTTCATCTCCTTGTACTGCTTGATCTCTCCGTTCACGCCCTTCCTCCTAGCGTGTTGTGCAACGGACGTTTCGGTCGCTCGTTCGAGATCCTTCGCCGCGGCTTCGTAAGCTTCTTTGTAATCGCCCGAACCGGAAATACGATCGATCAAGACGGCTAGATCTTTGGGTGATTGAGAGGCGACTTGTTCGACGTCACCCTAATTTTGACGGGATGATTGTTGCGACTTCAGTACCGTCGTAACCGCGAGGGGGAAAAATCTTAAGGTGAGAATAAAAACAAAAGCTGGGCACTGACTTGGAAGACGAGAAAGTTCTTGGCCTTGACGAGGATGTTGAAAGACTCGAGCGTGTCGTTGTATTGATCGTACTTGACTTTCTTGCCATTGAGGTGGTATTCCGAGATGCCGGAGCGGGCGATACTGCCGGGGGGGGGGGGGGGGTTGGGGGACGTTGGATCGACGCGTCGAGCGTAGGGGGCGGGAATGTCAAAAAAATGGAACATGTCACAAGAGGTCAGTCCCTTGCGCGTAGATCTGCATCCAGCGTACTGGATACCACTCACGTTCTTTTGAACTTCCATTCCTTGCCCTTGGTATCGATATATACCGCTTGAACCCACGCCTTCCTCTCCCCATCAACGCGTCCTTCATCATCCTCCCCCGCCCCACCTTCTTCACCTTCTTCCTCTTCCTCTTCTTCACCATCCTCATCGTCAACCTCCCCACGTTCCTTCCCTTTCCTTGACCCACCCGAGCGATAGATGAGGTCCTTGAGTGCAGAGGAACGGAGGGAAGAGGATCGTACGCCGAGGACGAAGGAGATCGCGTCCATTAGATTAGATTTACCCGCTCCATTCGGTCCTATAACGGCCGTGAACGAATGAAAAGGACCTCTGGTAGACGACACACGACGACCGTTCAGATCAGAATGAGATCGTAGGTAGCCTGCAAGGCGTATAACCGGTACTCCCGCTTCGCGTCGCGGTACTCACAGAATCACTCGTCCTTTGTAGGATTTGAAATTGTATAATTCGAGTCGATTCAAAGGTGGGGATCGATCATCGTGGTGATGTTGATGATGGTGATTATTGTTCGTGCCATTGGTGTGAGGATTCGTTTGAGCACTCGCTTGCGTAGAGGGAGGAGCCATCCCTTTCTCACCGCTTCACGCGTTCGACCAGCGCGGGGGATGAAGGAAAAGAGGTTGAGGGGGAAGGGGATGGGGTCGCCGAGGGCGTGTTGGTTTGTGAATGGGGTTGATTTGGAACTGACGAGTGTGTGTTCGTGTGTGTGTCGGGAGCGCAAGGAGTGGAAACGCGCGCGCACGACGCGTCGGTTGTCAAATCGCGTCTCCAACAGGCGCGCGCTTGGCTCGAGTCTTACTAGTATAGGAAGGAGGGCCAGCGATGAGCCACGGTACTGTCGCGGTGAGGGGCCCAGCCCACCTTGGCTTGAAATGCGAGGCCTGGGTTATACAACACCATAATACTAAAAAATCTCGACCAGACTCTCCCACCACTAAAATCTCCCCAGCCCCACTGCTGCAGTCGGGGAAAAACCCCGGTCAAATCTTCACCTCCGGCTCCGGTACGCTCTCATGCGTCTCCCCATCATGACCATGAACATCAAATACCTCTTTGGCCTTCAACAATTCCCCCACTGAATCAGTGGTGTAATGCGGGAGTTCGTCGACGCTCAAAGAGGTTAGGTGGGACGGTTTGGAGAATCCTGCGTCGGGATCGAGAAGGGAGCGTAGACGAGTCGGGATCCTGGACCGGTATTGAAAGAAAGCTGTGCATTTTTTTGGGACTTACCGGTCCATACGAGTAAGGTCGTAAGACCTCCCCTTCGACCGAACAAGACGTCGGTTTCGAGTCGATCGCCGACAAAGATCGTCTTCTCGGGGTCGTATTCAAGACTGTGCGGCGACGAACGAAGCACGTCAGGAAGTTTTCATCTCGAAGTTGTTGAGGTAGGATACGTGCTACTCACGTCCTTTGAACGACGTCCAGAAGCGGTTTGTAAGGTTTGCCGACCACCAAAGGTTTTAGATCCTTCCTCGCTCCATAAAGAACCGAAGCGATGGCACCCTGCGCGATCACAAAAGCATGTGTCTCAGCGTCGTCGCGAATCCTTTTGAGAAAAGAGGAGGAAGCTGATAGGATCAAGTTACCTCTCCGGGCAAGATTCCACCACCTTTGGCCGTCATCGAATGATCGTCGTTCGTCAAAATCAATCGACACCCGGAGTTGGAGCCGAGGTAGTTGAACGCTTTCGCCAGCTGTTTATCTGTACAGTCATCCATCCACCGGTGCACACCGTAACTTTTTAATACGTGAGCTTTGAGCAACGGATCGATTGGAGGAGACGTACAGTTGATCCTCATTTGAAAGGAATAGACGACCATCCCTATCTCGGGGTCCGGAGTGATGGACGAAAAATCTTGATCGGCCAAGAGGACGTCATCCTCGGGGTCCTATGCAAAATGATAAGGAGCTTTGTCGAATACGCTCCACACCAAAGCTTGATCGACCTGACTCACCGTTCCGCCGGTCCATTGCAACCCTTCGCGCCTCAACTCTTGCTCCATACTCTCCTGCCCAATCAAATAAATACCCTCCTTACCCCCCTTCTCCTTGATCTCCGGCAAGACCACCTCCTTGACGTAACTCGCCGTCGCACTCCCACACGTAAAGATATCGTCCAGTTGAACGTCGACGAGCCCCAAGCGGTGAAATTTGCGATGGTAGTCTTGGCGCGAACGGGTGGCGTTGTTGGTGACGAAGCAACAACGTTTTTGTAGGGAACGGAGGTAGTGCAGGGTTGGGATGATGTGCGGGGTTACTGCGTTGGGATGGAGGATGGAAGGGGTTAGATGAGCGTGCTTCCCTTTAGGGTTGAGGCTCGAGCAAGTGGGGGGCGGCACGGTTACTGACAGACGTCGCCGGCCGGTCCGCTCCAGATCACGCCGTCACAATCAAAGAGGAACTGTGGTCAGAGTAAAGGGATGTTTCAATGACAACTCCATCCGCTGGAAAGAGCCCAAGGCGGTAGACTGACGGTGTCGTGGCGCCGGACGAGCTCGGCCAAGTCGTGCGCTGTCGACAACGCCTTGGGACCGGATGTGGAGGTCGTGGTAGCCATGGCTCGGGAAGGGGTTTGGAACGTAGGACGGAGTCCGATGAGACTATGGCGTAAACCCGATGACGCGGTCCAACGGAACAGTAGGGACTGAATGATGGGAGTGGGGTAGAGAAAACACGATCACGTCGGTGTACGGCGCGCAAGTCGGTCAATCCTCAGGCTGGGGCTCCAAGACGGGGTATGAGAATAACGACGCGGCGAATGGAACCGAGCGAAGAGGAGTCCGAGTCGGGTATGTACAGATTAAACGGGACGAGGTTTGCGGCAGAGGCGAAGGTCGACTCGCGAGCGGCTGTAAGGGAAAGCTCGGCCAAACGAGCCCTTACGAGCACCTCGTACGGCCTCGCAAATCGCCCCCGCCGACTCGGAGCTCCCAGAGCTGCAACGCCTATTGTGGTCCGGGATTTTGGGCCTCGTCGAGACCGTGTTCTCCATCACCGATATAACCAAGAACTGTCTTAAAATTAACTGAAACTTCTCCCAAGAGCATTGTAATATAGTTCCGAGCCGAGAGGAGGGTGGCTCTCACTTTCTCATCATTTTCAAAACACCGCCCTAGCAGCTGCAGTGAGGCACGTCTTTGTGAATCCTCGCTGTGGCTGCACAACCTCCGTTGCTTGTGGAGGTCTTCGGCAATGCTTGATTATGGTCAGTTTTAAATTAGGGGAACATCGTGAAACAAAACTGTGCGTGTTGTGAAGCTCCGAGCAGCGCGCGACCGGCGAGGATAAGGGACCATCTTGAGAACTTAAACACCCGAACATCCACCGAACGCTTTTGGCGCAGATAGTGAACGATCACTTCACAATCGAATCAGGTGGTCGTCTCGCACAACCTGTACGACTGCTTCGTGACCACCCCTTTCTCTTCTCGTCTCTATCACCCAGAAACCGGCGTCCACCACTCCCTTCACCGCCTATAGAAAACCTTGCTTCTTCGTCGTCTTTGGCCGGCGCTCCGAGTCGGCTTCGGGTACGAACCGTGACCCGATCCGAGGCCGTCGCCGAGCGCGCAAGTTCGCCCGGCGATCTGCGTGTCAAATCACTCTCTCCTCTTTTCTGCTTCTGTCTCGCAGAGCACGCTCCCCTCTCCTCTCCCTCCCTCCCTCCCTCCCTCCCTTCCACGTCTCTGGTCCTCTTGCCCCCGTTCATCATCCCTTCGCTTCGACCTCCTCACCCAACCCATGCCAACGCTCTCAACCGTCTCTCGTTTCCTTCCCTCGTGGTCGACCGTCCTCGTCGGCTTGATCCTCAACTACGCGCTCAAGACGTCTAGCACGACCGTACGCTCGCAATGGCTTCGTAGAACGTTCTTCACTTTACTCTGGCTCAACTGGAGGTCATTACCTTTCATTTGGCACCTCCGTACGTCCGCTCCGCATCATACCTCGGTCAGCAAAGTGAATCGATTAAGACTGAACCCCGCCCGTCCTAGCAGACCTCTTTGGCCAAGTTCCTCTCCTGCATCTCCGACTTCGTCTTTACGGCCTAGACAAGGTATTCGCCATCGCCAAAGACCCCTTCGATACCAAAGTCATCACCAGGGGAACCGCCACTTGGGACGCGTCCGATTGGAACATGCATCTCAGCAATTCGTCCTATGCTAAAGCATGCGACGTAGCGAGGTTCAAGTGGTTGTGTAACGTCGTAGGTTGTTTCGTCGCTCAGCCGTTCGGAAGGATGGATGAGCATGTTCCTGATGTTGTTGATTTGGATGGTCTTGGGTCTTGCGGGGGGGGGGGGGGGAATCAGGTTGGCCCCGCATTCGGTAGAGAGGATATTTGGTCCCCTCTTGCTCAAACGGCTTTCTATTTTCATCGCGAGATCCCGATCTTCGCTTCGTACGAGATCGATGTACACGTCGTCGCATGGGATGATAAATGGGTACGGTTCCCATCTGCATCTTTCTAGCCGCGATTCGGAACCGATCGCCCCAAAACTGATCTTACTTTTCATTCACTTTTCCTCCCCACGATAGCTCTACTACGTCTGCCGTTTCACCACACCTCCGAATAAGAAAACCTCCTCTTCCGAACGAACGCTGAATTGCGTCTCCCTTTGTCGATCATGTTTCAAGATGAAAGGATCGAGACTTTCTATACCCCCTTCGCGCGTCTTGTCCATCTCTGGTGTGGGTCCTGATCGATCCAATTGGGATCGAGCGATGGGTTTTAGAGCCGAGGGGAAAGGGAAGGCTTGGTTGAAGTATGGTGGGGAATTGGCGGCGAAGAAGGCGGGCAAGTTGGGTACGGATCATGTTTTGGTTGGGGAGGAAGGCTGGGACGAGGATGGGATGCGAGATTATGAAGAGAGGAGGATCGAAGGGTTGAAAATCGTGGGAAGGTTTGGGGATGTGAGAGGGTGGGAGAACCTTTAGAGAATGAGATTAGGGAATGGGAACTTCGTGTGGGAGGGATGGGGGAAGTTGAGTGGGAGTATAATAGACTTATATGATAGTTAGAGTGCGCATATATGTAATTCATTGCAGGATTCGTCTTCCTGGGATGCATACGGCCGATCTCAGGGTAGTACCGGTTTCGTACCGGTTACAGTAACTCACTTGCTTGATCCTTATCAAAACGACCCCTGTGTCGCGATGGAGAGCAAAGCGGTACTGGGAAACTATGCACATGATCTTCCATCATCTTCTTATACGAAAGTAAGTCCAGAAGCGAAAGAGGAGATCTCATAGATTCCGAAAGGTCGTGGACATGACGTGCCGAGCACGGAACCATACTATTAGCGCACAGAAACCCCTTGACTGCGTGATACCTGGGGCAACCGATCATGGTCGGACCAGGCCGAGCGTGTGAAGTGAGGATTCAGTTATTATCGTGTCGCGTCGATTGCGTTGACAGAGGTAGAAAGGTCAAGATTATATGCAAGTTGATTCGACGTACCGGGTTCCTACTTCTCAATGAGGGTTTTCAAGTTGGCTATGAACGAGAGCTAGGTAAAAATAAAATAGAATCGACCGTGCGATTTTCGAGCCAAACTATCTTGGAACCAAAGACACCAGCCAATTGTCAATGATCCGGATCACAGAGAGAGTTTGATCAGGTATCGCTCAGGCTCATTCAGTGATCCGGACGGGGTTGACGTAGGAATGAGGTGAATTAACGTAGGGATGAGGTGAAGCCTCTTCCATCCCGGCCCGTCGACTCGATCCGGACCGACTTGCCAGAAGCGCGCGCAGGAAGAGCTCGCACCGGCGAGGACGCGCTTGTTCAGCCGCGATTTCTAAAACTTGGCTCGTCCATATAAAGATTATTTCTCTTGTTCGGGTATGATGAGGTCAAGCTCACTTCGACCTCGTGCCAATCGAGGGAGGTCATCTCGAGTCGTGAAGACTTTTTTCCCTCCAGAGAGGTGCACCGTGCCGGGGTGGGCGAGGAGGGGGCCAGCAATGGTATACCATCCCTCTACCAGGCTTTTCCCGGGCCAAAAAAAAACAGAAAAGCTGCCTTATCGCGCGTGCACGCACGAGTTCATTTGGCTGGATTAATCGATTTGCCGATCTGCTCAGAGGCATTTCCCAGCGCGAGAATCCGCGCTCACTCGAACTATCTCTCGGCTTTCGGCGTTCTCAACTGCTCAGTGCTCACGATGGTCCGCAAAAGCGCTATTCAACGGCAACGTGATGATGTTCGCGTCGAGATCGAAGAAACGGAGAGGGATATTCAAGAACTTTTATCGCTCAACCAATCCATTCTGCTGGAGATTGATACGGAGATGGAGTCCGACTTGTTGACGTCGGACGCGATGGAGACGGACTCCGACGCGTCGTTGCCTCCAGCCTCTTTCTCACCTTCGGAAGACCCAGTGCCATCCGCCAATGTTACCAAAGGCACAGCTAATCGATCCTCTATCCCGGAAACTCCACTCGTTGATTCTTGGCTTTCCCAATTCTGGCCCGAATCGTCCGAAGTGTCCGACGACCGGTCTGACGTTCTTGACAGGCTGAGGACGCTCCGCACCGATCACTTTCACATGAACTACCGCTTAATACAGGCTCTTGGGGACCACCTAGAGATGTTGCTCCGCAAAGAAGAAGAACTCGCGGGACAACGCTACGCGAATCGGGCAAAGAAATACGCCGGCAGAGGACCCGGCCACGGGCTGATGAGGTGTTTGGACAGTGTGGATCGCAATCGCGACCAAGACCTTTTCTTGACCGATATTCGCATGAGCAAGAAGGCATTCGACGAGTTGCACAAAGCTGTGAGTTCATTATGACCGTGTGGCATCGCGCAGGTGCCTTAGTCTGTGGTGGCCTGAACATCTTCTTGCCCATGCGCCGTCAGGTGAAAGGACACGACGTGTTCAAGTCTCGAGGCAAAAAACCTCAGACGTCGCCAAGAATCCAACTCGCCGTCGCGTTGTGGCGCTTTGGTGGCTACGGGAACCGGGCCTCGGCAAAGGAGGCCGTCCAGTGGTCCGGTTACAGCATTGGATCAGTGCTAAAATTTACCGATCGTGTCATCGTAGCGCTCAACGAGCCGATTGGGGGGCCCATGCGTACTAGGCGCGGGACTACTAAGCGTGCTCGAGATGATGACTACTCGGACCTACGACCTCGGCACTCTCAACAAACGCCAGCCACCCAATCTCGCTCCCAGTGGAGTGAACCCGTTCAAATTCAAGGCGATTATATGCTTGCGAAATCTCGCATCGCCGAAGCGCGGGCTGCTCGCGACGCCGAACGGAGGGCGATTCGGGACCGCGCCCAAGCAGCAAAGGACGAAGAGGCCAGGCGATCGGCTCGCGATAAGCGGCACATCACACGGACCACGTTCTATTTCGAAAACGTGTGTAACTGGCCCGAGGAACGGCAGGCACAGTTCCGCTTATATACGGACGTTGACCGGTTCTTAGGCGGTGAGGAGGATTATCAAATTGCAAGAGCACAGGAGTGATCAAGATGGCGGGCCGGGGGTACATCATGTAGTAGACACGAAACTATCCGGAACTATTTATGGGGAATGGGAAATCGGGCTCTGCTTGGTATGAACATGCTGTTGCGGATCTAAGACTATGTCAAGCTCACCGTCTTCCCAGAGGAAAATGTCTCAGTATCTCAGTGCGAGGGGGCGATCGCGAATCGAGAAATGCAGGCTTACCCGGTCCGGCCCCCCACGCGCCGTGTTCGGCTCCACCTTGGCACCCCGCCGACCTCCGCCGACCTCCACGACCTCCTCCCCTCCCCGTCGCTCCCTTGTTGTACCACCCTTCACCTCCACGCGCAACCAATCCTCATCAAAAACATGGTCAGTCAACCCCTGCCCTCCAATCGACGTTGCAGATTCATATCACCAACACTGAAATTCGACTTCCCCCCTCCCCTCCCCTCTACACCTCCACCTCTCCACAGGCCGACGTCTCTTCACCTGATATCGCCGCGGCTTATGAGGACGTTCGAAATGGTACGCTGACTTTGAGTTGGACTAGTTCAACAACGTCTTTGAGGGTCCGGTTCTGTTGCGCACACGAGCAGAACCATAGGCACGTTTGACGGATGGGCGATTTCCCTCTACCGCGAGACCCGGGACCGCTCGAAAGTTCGAAATGGGTCAACTACTTCCTAGAAACTGATCACTGGGTTTTCTAATGAGAACAAACATTAGATAAATCGGAAACGAATTGGTTGCTCCTGGATTACGAAGGCGACAAATCGGACAAGTTGAACTTGACCGCTACAGGAACCGGCGTCCGTTTTTTTTATTCTAAAATCAAGCAAGGTCGGTGGAACGTGGGAGATCGAGTGCTGATGCTGTGTTTTGTTTTTCTTTGAAACAGGGTTTGGACGAACTCAAGACCAAGTTCGCGGATGAGAGGGCTAGCTTCGCCTATGCGAGGATCGTCAGTTTAACCCCGCCCCCCCACCACACACTTGTGCTGCGTTTTGGAGATTGGGAGTACTTGCTGATACGAATCAAGGTTTTGGTGTTGGGGTTGATTTTAGACTTACTCGAACGACAAGGAATCAACGAGGGACAAGTTCATCTTCATCACCTATAGTACGTCCCTCCCTCTAGTCGCAGTACGAAACCGAAACTTTTTCGATCCAAAGATCGAAGCGACTGATTTCCCCCCCTCCCGCCCCCTCGCTTGACTTTTTGCTGCACCATTTCGTTTTCGTTTTCCAGTCGGTTCGGGCGTACGGGTCATGCGTAAAGCCAAAATTTCGGTACATAAATCCGAGGTACAGAAGGTCTTGCGCGCTTTCAGTATCGAAGTACCAGCGGAGAACGCAGACGATTTGGCAGAGGTCAGTTTCGAGGTTCGATTGCGTTTGTTTTTTTTGCTTTTCGCTTTTCGCTTTTCGCTTTTCGGTCGTTTTGAGATTGGTTGAGTGGTTGCTGATGCCGGGTTTTTTTTTTCCTTTCCTTTTGGGGGTGGGCTTAGGCGCCTATTGTGACGAGACTTAGGAAAGCGGGTGGAGCGTCTTATGATCGGGCTTAGATGGAGGCTAAACGAACGTGGTGGGGCGAAGGGGACCTTACATATATCAAAAAGGTTCGAGGGACGTCTCTGCTTTCCTGCGCTTCGGAACGTGCTTCGATGAGGGTCCTAGGAAGGATAGAGGAAGGACGGAACCTAGATGGGTCGATGGGGGGGGGGGGTTTGCAATATTATGCGATGGTCGAGGGTTTTCTGAAACCTTTCTCTGACAAGACAGAAGCAAGGGATAACAGACAATCCACGAGTTGCGAATTTAAAAAAAACGGGAAGAACAACTGAAATTGTGCGGTCGGGGGGGTTACAACTAGTAGAAACGGAGGAATTGAATGACTTTTCAGTTCTTCTTGAAGCGAACGAACGAGAGCTCACGAACGGGCCTGCCTACGCGGTCGAGATTTTAGCACCAACCAATCTCGTACAATCGATAACTTTCCTCATCCGCCCTTCCGACACCTTTCACCCTTTGCAACTCTGTCATTCTCTTGATGGCTACGCGGTAAGGATCATCGGGGGAGGTGCGAGGTGGGAGGGAAGAGGCGAGAGGGAATACGGTCGCTATGGAGGAGATGGCTTTGGCGTGATGGGGACGGAGGGGGACGATCAGGTGGAAGGCTGGGGAGGGGATAGAGGTGGACGAAAATTGAGGGTCCGAAGTTGGGGTGGGTACGGTCGTTCGTACACTGTCGAGCTCGACGTCGACGAGGGCCTCTTTGACGCTATCGAGACTGAAGGGAGTTGGAGTCTGCACGACCCTTCTTTTCCTCGGTTTCGGCGTATACTGATTCGGTCGAATGAGGAATTGTTGTACGCAAGACTTGAGCCACAGCGCATGCTCGGGTCCGTAAATCACGTCCGCTGCTAGAAGGGTGTGGAATGGTCGGTCGAAGGGTGGGGGGAGGTGCAGGGGGGAATTGGTGGTGGAGGAGAACAGCAGGGACGAGTGTACGGCGGACCAGTCGAGTTTGTAGGCTGTTACGACGGGGACGGTGGAAGGGAAATTTGGTGTGGGGGATAGGAGGGGCGATCCGGGGTGCGAGTCCGAGGGTCGAACAAGGGGGGAGTTGAGAGGGGAACTTGAAGGGGAGATGGCGGCGGTGTTGGAGGCGACGTTCCTGAGGCGAGGGATCGAAAAAGAGGATGTTAGATAGTTTTCCCCTCGAAAATGACGATCATGCCCGTCACTCACCTCCTCAAATTCTCCAAAACCGCCTCATGATAATCCGTCGCAATCACCTCCTCCCCAACGACATCCAATCGCTCACTCATACCTTTCCAAACCAGCGAGAGTAAACCCGTGCCCGCGCCGAGTTCGAGCGTACGTTCGTTTTCGCCTCGGGCGATACCGAAGGACGTTGGGTTCAACGCTATCATTCGGGCTAGGAGTATGGAGGAGCCCCAGGATTGGAGGCCTACCGAAGTGGGGTCGAGGGAGGAGGGGAGGGCGTCGTTGAGGGTTATTGTTAGGGGCTCATAGGGGGAAGGGGAGTCGGGGGCGCTCGTCGGGAGTAGAACGGCTCGGAGGATCGAGCCCGAAGCTGTTGGGTGGGCCATAGGGTCAGCATTCGAACGAATTTCCACGCGATCGAGTTCCCACTAACATACGAACCTGACGTCTCGGCAAGGTAAGCGACCAAAGCGGCGGCCTCATCAATGACTTTGCATCTCGCCGATTTTTCCTCCTCGTCACCTTGGACTGCGGCCTCGCGAATCCAGTCGTCGCTCTTCTTGATCAAGCTCGAAAGGAACGAGCGCGCGTACCCGCGTTCAAGTTGATCATCTTTGCCTAGATCATCGACGTCTTCGTCGTCCGAGAGGTCCGAGTCGCAGGCGTGGGCGGCGTGGGCGGCGTGGGCGGCGTGGGCGGCGTGGGCGTGAGCATGCGAGTGCGAGTGCGAGTGTTCGGACGAAGCGGTGGTGGGTGAGGCCGGTGAGGCATAGCCTGAATCGGTCGTCGTTCGAGCTGAGCGAGTGATCGGAGGCGGAGGTGTAGCGTACAACAGTCGGAGGTGCGCGACGAGCGATAGCAGCTTGGAAGCGGGGAACGACTCGGAGTGGCCTACGAGGGAACGTGGGAGCGTGGGCAGCATCGAGGTGGGCAAGGAAGGTCGTCGGGATAAGGTCGAGCGACGAGCAATCAAGGGCGGCATCGGCGCAGCAGCGGGCGGAAGGACAGAAGTTGACGCTGACATTGTGGAGGCGGAGGACATGGCCGGGGCGAAAGGGAGGAGGTTAGACGGGCGGTGCTGAACCCACTCCAGAATTCCACAATACGAGCAATGACAGGACAAGGGGCGAGTTGAGGAAGGCGCCGACGGACAGTCAGAAGGGAATGGTGAGTCAACGCGCACGTTTCGTCGTTGCGAAACGCAGATCGTCAATCTCAGCCGTTCGGCCGCTCTCAAGCCGTTCCATTCGGCCGAGCCGCCGATCGCCAATCGGCTTGAGAGCACCGAGTACGATGCATGCAGATCGTCAATCAAGACTCGGTATAAAATAAAGCTCAATCTAATATACAAAATATTAATAACATCTGTGCCTCATCTCTCGCATCTTCCGTCTCCTAGACTGGCTCGGAAGTGCTGCCAAAGGCGCGCCGGCTCCCGAAAAAGATCTAATCACGTGACCACGTGATCTGCAGCCTCGCCCGCGCCGACTCTCAACACGTTGAAGCCCTCTGATTCAGGCGCTTTAACGTCCAAGTCCTTCTCGTCAGCGCAGGTCAGAGAGCGATGCGACGTACTCTGATTCTATCAAGCTGTGCAGGGCAGGTAGTGCTTGCCGGCCGGGGCTCTTGCACTCATTTACTATTGTCGCCGAACGCTCTGGCAAGCTTTCGCGATCCGATCGATGGAAGCTTTCAAGTTCCCTTATCCATCGTGTGGTCGACTGTCACAAGTCTTACACAACGATCACCCATTACGACTCAAGAGTTACAGAGAACCAACATGCCCTCGATACGGAGGTATAGCAGATCGTTATTGCCGCTTGCACACTGCGCTTGTGAATGTGAAATAGTTGAGATGCGCGATCCGATCCGGCGGGCGCATCACGTGATGTTCGCTTCGGCGCGGACTAGTCTTATTTCGTAGCGTAGCGAAATTGGAAAGCGAGAGAGTAGCGAGACGCTGCGAGAGGTGAGCCACTACTGGTGACCGGTGAGCTCTGGTAGGCTCTGGTGAGCCGACGCGCGTCACTTTCAAGTTGTACTCACGAGAGCTTCTTTGACTTTCGACCTGCACCACCACCCCTCGCGTCGACCCGTCTCTAACAAGCGAAATACGTCCTCATCCTTCACCCCATCCCACCTTCCTCGTCCCTCCCCCTCTTTCTCCCACCACGACGTCCCCCACCCCCCATGCACTCGCAACCACATCAACCGCACTCGCTCACGTCGCCCAACTCGCCGCCGCCGCCGCCGCCGCCCAAACCTTCTCCTCCTCCGCCTCCGCCTCCGCCGCTGCCGCTCATCGAACCTCGACCGTCTTGAACCATACGATCCCACCTTTTTACGCATGTTACCTATTGAGGTCATTGAAGCAACCTAATAGAACTTATATAGGTTCAACACCGGACCCGAAGAGGAGGTTGAAGCAACATAATGGGCTCGTTAAAGGTGTGAGTTTCAATCTTTGGGGCGGAAACGGTGGCTGTGTTTTTTGTTTTTTTGTTTGGTGTTTGGTTCGATTGATTGATGAGTCTGTTTTTTTTTTTTGGTTTTTTTGTTTGGATTGGGATTTGGGGTGGGGTGGGGATGGACATTGTAGGGTGCGTTCAAGACGAAGAGGGCTAGACCTTGGACGATGTCGTTGTTGGTTCATGGGTTCCCGAGCAAGTTACAGGCTTTGCAGTTCGAATGGGCTTGGCAGAACCCTCATCTTTCAAGACACCTACACGAACAAAACCTTCCAATTCCTTCTTCTTCTTCTTCTTCTTCTGAGGTCAAAGTCGTCGTTGATGAGGATCAGGGACAAGTGGAAGAGGTACCCAAGTTGAACCCGAAGAAGAAGAAGAAGGATCGAACTCGTTCAAAAAACGGTTCTACCGAACCTCTTACGACGGTCCCTCAATTCCCTAAAACGACGCTCTCGAATCGAGGCTTGACCAAAATTCAAGTACTCATGTTCATGTTGACGAGTCGACCTTGGAAAGCGTTCGATTTGAGCGTCGTTTGTTTTGAGCAACTTTCGAAAACTTGGTGGCAACGCGCGATGGGGTTGGGAGTCGTCGTTAGGACTGAGGCTGCGATCAAGAAGTTCGAGAAGGAACGAAGGGGGGTTCAGAGTCCGTGGGGTGAGCAGAGGGGGAGGTTTTTGGAGCGGGTCAAGGTGATGGATTGGTTCGAGGGTGTGCATGGGCAAAAGGATGGGGGGAAGACGTTTAGGACCGATGATGGTACGTGCTACGAGGGAGGTCCGATCTGAGAGCGCAAGTCTTCATTAGGGGGGGGGACTGAGTTGGGGATCCTTTTTTGCGCAGGTGCGATGATCGATGTCCATTGGGCTAAATGGATCGAGCGCGTCGGATCGGCATCGAATAATGATTGTGCGATCTGTCATCGACCCGTCAACGTCGAGGTGGGTCCGACCTTCCCATCTCCCGGGGGGTAGGGGGGGGGCAATAAGCTCGTTACTAACCCGTTCATCGGGATTTTCGCAAGGATCATCTCGAATTCATATTGTGCACTTCAGAAAACCCCACTACTTCCACTTCAAAGATGGTCACTTCCAAACCCTGTACCGCACTCTACCACCTCCCCTGTCTCGCGCACCACTTCACCCACACCACCTTCCAACGATCCGGCTTTGTAGAAAAGGAAGAAGATCAACCCCCCCTTCTTCCGCGAAAAGGGACTTGCCCTTCGTGTTTGGCGGAATTGCATTGGAGCGAATTGGTTAGGGGTTGTTATAGGCGTTCGGATGAGGAATCGGGCAAGAGGGAGAAGATGAAGAGGGCGGAGGAGAGGAGGAGGAAGAAAGAAGAGAGGGAGAGGGAGAGGATGGTGTTGGAGGGGGGCAGGAAAGGGAGGAAGAAAGTGGGGAGGGGGAAGGGCAAGGCGGTGGTGGAGCATAGTGGGAGTGAGGATGGGGTTGGGGCTGAGGAAAGGGTCGAGTTTGTGAGTGGGAGTGAGAGTGAGGAGGTAGGGGATGAGGATGAGGAGGATGAGGTGGAGAGAAGCTTGGCGATTTCGGTGGAGGCGGATGGGGAGTTGGAAGGGCAGAGTGGTGAAAGTGCGAGTGAGGAGGAGGGGGAGGAATTGCTAGTGGGAGTAAAGAAGGGGAGGGGAAAGGGGAAGGGAAAAGAGGGGCCAACGAAGAAGGTGACAAAGGCGAAAGTGACGAAGGAACCGAGCGCGTCGACGCCGAAAAAGAGGGGACGACCGAAGAAGGTCGTCGAGGCGTATGTCGAATTGTCGTCTTGATTCTCTAGCGCGTATACATGATCTGCAAAACAATGTTGTTACATCACCACTGCCCAACAATCTACTGTGAGGGTCCCTTTCGAAACAAGGAATATCCGAACCTGCTTCAAGGCTCGGCCTCAAACAAACATAATTCTGTCATCATCCCTCTCAACGCCATACCCTCTTGAACGACTCCGCCCCCTCGCTCCTCCGTACACCAAACCCTTTTCAAACGACAATTCGCGTGGATCTCGATACTTTGTAGCGCTTTGTAGCGCGGGGGTGGGGAGGGTCCTCCGAGGTCAGGGAGCGAATTTAGGTGGTCGGGAAGGGGAAGAGAGAGGAGGAGCCAGGGGGTTAGGGAGTGGGGTGTTGGAGGGGGGAAGGAGAGGGGGAGGTGCAGAAGGGAAGGGTAGGGTTGCGTTGGAGAGGAGGGGGTGTAGGTTGGTGTCGTCTGCGGAAGGGAGGGTTTTTTTTTTTTAGGCGGGCGTTTGTGCGGGAGGAGTTTTCAAGGTGAGGGACTTACTTGGAACGTCGATGCGCGAATCACGTATGTCTTCCCTCGTTCGTCCGTGACCAAAACGTCGAGGTAAAAGTTCATCCCTTGGCCTAGAGGCTTGAGAAACAGGTGCAGATAGGGGGCGTTGATGGCCAAGCCGGAGGAGGAGGAGGAGGAGGGTCCTGTGTTTGAGGGGGCGTCGCCGAAGCGTATAAAGGTGGTCTTGATATCGGGTGATTGGAGGTGCAGGACGGGGCCGGAGATGGACCCTTTTGAGGAGCTTGTAGTGGCGGAAGGGGAGGTAGAGGTGGGTGACGGCGTGGTGGAGCCGACTTTCATGGTGGATTGCGAGGGGGTGCCGAGTGTGGTTGTGGTTGTGGTTGTGGTTGCAGAAGAGGAAGATGGAGGAGGTTGGGAGGGTATGAGCTCATCGGTCGCATCGTCCACGAGAGAGATCCACGAGTCCTCGGCAAAGGACGCCGAGGTTGAGGCTGCGGACGAGAGCAGGAGAGGGTGCGATGACGACGAGGAGAAGAGCGAGATTACGGGGGGCTGCGAGAGAAGCGGGACGGGTCAGAGAGAATGATCTCATAGAGGTTCGAGATGCTATACCTACTTGCAGGGTATGCTTGAACATGCTGCGCCGTGCGGAGTCGGCCAAAGTGGGGGTTGAACGTTGAACGTGGAGCAAAGATGAGAGAACGGCTCGAGCGATCGGCAGCAGGTGCGAACCGGGTCACGTGACATGCCCGAGTGGAGCTCGACTCGCATCACCGAGCTTGCAGACACAATCCGTCTCGGTCCATACGAGCACATTCTACAACAACCAAGTCGACACTAGACACACGACGTTCATTCCCAGTTCTGACCTCGCCCAGTGCTCACTCGAACCCAAGCTTGGGCGTCCTTCTGCCCCCCTTGACATCCTTCCTCTGCTTCTTCACCTTGAGCATCTTGCTCCTCTCCCTCCTCTCCAAAGCCTTGACCCTCTCCTGCTGTTCCTCGGACGTGTCCCCCTTCAAACCGACTCGCGCAGCTTCTAGAATCAATTCCTTGATCCTCTTGATCCCCAATTCGACGTTCTGCGCTTGGGAACGCGTATTCGAACTGGAGAGCAAGAGGCCCGAGGGGGAGGTGGACACGTAAGAGGGGGAATCGAGTAGGGTAGGTAGGAGGTAAGGGGGTAGCCAAGGTGGGGGAGGGGAGAGGCAGAGGCGGAGATGCGCTTTCGTGGAGAGCTTGTTGACGTTCTGCCCGCCCGGGCCGGACGAACGTGAGAAGCTGATCAGGAGGGAGTCTGTGTGGGGGCGAGGGGTGCGGCGACGTAGGGTGAGTAAAGAGAGGGGGGGAACGGTGGGGCACAGATTGAAGTTACCTTTGGGGAAGGCGGAGATTGGCGCGGAGGAGAAACGGGCGATCCATTCTCGTGCGTGGGTCATGTCTTGTGGGGTCGAGAGGGAGGAGGGGAGCGCCCCAAGTGAGCTCCGGGCGCTGCTGCTGTTACGCCGAGCTGAGGAGGTCGACACCGGCCGGGATCGGGTCGAGCGGGCGAGAGCACCGAGGAGCCATGAGCTCGAGCTGGGGAAGTTGAGAGCGTGGGGACGTTGGCGGGTGCAGAGGCGAGGTGCGAGCTTGAGTGACATCGCTGGCGGAGGGACGAGGGAGCGAGGACGAACCCCTGGAGCTGGACCCGGCGACGCCGACGTAAGGGGCCAAGAAAGACTTGCGACAGGCTGCGACGGGCTGCGAGTGCGACAGCCGGCGACGCGCGTCAAAGCAGCGCAGGCGACCTCAGTGGCAGGCAACTCGCGGCCGGGCGACAACGACCAGCGAGGACCAGCGAGGACCAGCGAGGCACCTCAGCTCTGGCAGGCGCGCCTCCACTTCACCGCGTTGGTCTTTTTCCCCCACTCAACGACCCCGCACACCATGTCCCAAGGCAGGCCAAACACCTCCACCTCTCACCTCTCTCCAGCGCTGACCTTGTCTATTTCCTCTGTACGCTCGCAGAAATCCTACTGCCGCCTTACGCGGACTCTGTATCGTCACTCGCGTTCCACCCGACCGACTCGAACTTGCTCATCGCCGGTTCCTGGGATGCCGTACGTTCCTTTTATATCTTTGACCGACTTGACACTCCCTCATGTCCTGACTGACTCCCTCCCTCGCGCAACGTGTCCGGTTCAGCGAGTACACTTACACGACCTCACCAACCCTACCGTACCCAAATCACTCCCTACCCAAGGCGCGATCCTCGACGTAACTTGGGCACCCGATTCCAATACCAAGATTTATTATGCCGGACTCGCGGGTCAAGTCAGATCGTGAGTCTCGGGTCGTGAGCGAGTGGGAGCGTGGGAGAGGGGAGAGGGTTAGGGCGGTGCTGGGTGCTGATCGAGCGGGGTTGAGGGGTGCGATTGGATTAGGGTCGATTTCGAAACGGGCTTGGATCAATTCGTGTGCGCTCATCAAGAACCCGTGAAATGCGTCGAGTATTCGGATCAATTGAGTCAGTTGGGGAGCGTATCGCTCACACAGGGAATGAATTTCCGGAATTGGAGAATTGATAAAAAAAAGTCATTCTCTCTCTCTCTCTCTCTTCAGACGCCGTCATCTCCGCTTCGTGGGACAAGACACTTCGCATCACTTCCCCGACCTCTTCGATCGTTCTCCCCATCGCCGATAAAGCCTATTGTCTGGCCCTTTCCCCGACCAAACTCGTCATCGCCATGGCCGGAAGGCGCGTGTGGATTTACGAATTGAATACGTTGAAAGAGGCCTTGCTCAAAGGGACCCAAGGGGAACAAGTCGAGGTTTGGCAAAAGAGGGAGAGCAGTCTCAAGTTCATGACGAGGGCTTTGAAATGCATGCCTAATGATGAAGGTCAGTCCAAATTCTCCTCCTAATCGGATCATGGTATGCGGACCACATCTGATGTGGTGTGTTGTACACACACACCCAGGTTACGTCACCACTTCGATCGAAGGTCGAGTAGCAGTAGAATTCTTCGACCCTTCCCCCTCCGTGCAAGCCAAAAAATACGCGTTCAAATGCCATCGTCAAGTCATAGACGGCGTCGATACCGTGTACCCCGTGCAAGGTCTCGCGTTCAATTCGCTGCACGGAACTTTCGTCACCGGCGGAGGGGACGCGACCGTTTCGATTTGGGACCCCGTCGCGAAGAAGAGGTTGAAGCAATGGCCCAAGTTCAGGGCAGCAGTCGTAGCGTGCGAGTTCAATAGGGACGGGAAAAAGTTGGCCGTCGGTTGGAGCTCGGACGATTTGGCTGATGCTGCGGTTGGCGTTCATGGGCTTAGTGTGAGGGACGTCGGGGACGATGCGAGGGGGAAGGGAACGAAGTAAGCCGGATTTGGGATTGTAATATAGTTCCTGTATGCACAGTTGAACGGTATGTTTTTTCTTTTTCTTTTTTTTGAGAGAGGGGGTAACACAGTCCTCTCAAACGATACAAAAGGTCACCCCTCGGGTAGCCCAGGATACCGATCTCGAAACAAAAAAAAAGAAAAGGTAAATTTCCGTAGCCCCGGCCAAAGGGGGAAAGGGGGGTATATGACACCACGAATCCAGAAAGCAGAGAGACCTCATACCACCGACCCCACCCCAACTTGAGGTGTGCGATCCTCATCCCGTCCTCATCCCGTCCTCATCCCTTGCAAAAACACTTCCCTCCCACACGCTCGGAACAACCTCTCCGCCTTACTCAACGTCTTGCCCGAAACACCGGTATTGTACAACTTTTGATAAGCGGCCCAGGAAAGTTTGTAGAAACTCGTTGAGCTCGAGGGGAGTTGGACTTGGGTTCGAGGGGAAAGGCAAGCTAGAGAAGAGAGCGTCGGTGGAGAGGATGGAGGTTCGTGCAGTAGTCGTCCGGCGCGGTGGGGGTTCGAAAGGGGGTAGTGGGAGTGGTGAAGGAGATGATGGAGTAGATGGAGACGTCTTTGATGAGTCCAGGTCGTGCGCAGATGCGCGAGTTGGGAATGAAGGATTTGAGTCGTCCTTGATGCGCATGGACGAGGGTTGATTTGAGCGGTATCGGGTTGGGGAACGGGGTTGGATGAGAGCTCGGGCGGCGCGGAAGAGCGGGAGGGAATAGGAGGTCGTGTTGGTGCTAGTTCGGCGCGCGCGAGGTGGGAACGGTTCGAGTCGAAGAACGAAGAGACGTGGGAGGTGGGGGGAACGGGTCGAAGAGCGACTTTAGGGAGTACAGTAGTTCGGGTAGCTGCTGGGGAGGATTGCTTCGCCGTGGTTGTCACCTTCGCAGCTCGTATCGTCCGCACCTGGTACGTGGTCGATTCGTGCTCGGCAGCGGTAAGAGATTTCGACAAAGCGGGCCGCATCGGATCGGCACCTTTTGGAACGGCCTCGATCAAGTTTCTCGAAGGCCTAATCACCCCTTTTGGAGGAGGTGTAGACTCATTTCGAGTAGGCGATTGAGTTGTAGTGGAAGGGGTAGACTTGCGTCGAGAACGAGACCTCGCGCGACGGCGGCGTCTCGCGGCGGTGATGGCGTGTTGGGAACGCGGATTAGAGCGAGCACACTCGGTTCGAGGTGCTGGTGCCCGAGGGGTAGGTGGAGTGAATTTGGACGTGTTGATAGTCGATGATAATGTCCTGGCTTTCGGAGCCAATGTTGCGCTGCCTTCGAGCACCTGCGAAGAACCCATTGAAGAAACCTAGTCAGCTTGCCCGCCTCCCGAGTTCCAGACATCGAGGCGAAAAGAAGTTCACTCACCCGCTTCTTGAACACCCACCTCCCGTTCGCCCATACCAGCCTTGCATCGCGATCGATCCTTTCCTCGATCCTTTGACGCTGTTGAGGCTCCAGAATGGAAGATCGGGGGTGCATGGGTGGGCGTGCGTAGAGTGGGGAGGGGGAGGTGTGGAAATGTCGGCGTGGGTGGAATGGACGGGAGAGGGGGTTGAAGAAGGGGAGGGGCTTGAGAGGAGTAGTGCGGTTCGGTGTAAAATAGGTGCTGCGAGACACGAGAAGGGATGGGAGGGGCAGCTTGAAGGGGTTTGATCGAATCTCTGGGGTTGTAGGGACGAGGGCGCGGAGAAGGGTACGCAGGAGGGGGAGCGACATGATAATATGCTTGGGAGGTGGTGTTGATTTGATGAGAAGTGATGTGGGTGTCGTTGTTGGAGTGGGATATACCGACCAGCGATTGGGAGAGCACTATAGAAGAGATGAGCAAAGATCAGGTCAGTGGGTGAAGACGAGTGAAGACCATTGCCGAACCCCCTTTCAAGGGGAAGGGGGACGTTTCATCTTCGTGCACGCGCCGCCTGCTGCTGTGCCGCCGCGCTCGGAGCGACCGGCGAGGATCACGTCAATCACGCTTGAGCGCTCCCTTTCTTCTTCCCTGGAGCTCAAGTCGGAACTAACGCGAGACGTCGTTGTTAACCCCCTCGAGTGGACCGTGCGCGGTTATGGCTGCGCCTGGGTGTTGGAGGATGAAACAAGGGGAACAGGGGGCTTGAGCGCGCGCGGGTTTGGCAGGTTTGACGGTGTGGACAGAGAGGTAGCCGAGTCGAGTACACCGACCCGATGTTAGGAACACGTCGTGAGAGTATCCGCAGTTACCTTCTTTTCTCCGATGTGACGAGGAAATGTTGAATCTCGTCTCCGAATGCTCGTCGTCTCCTCATCGCGCTCTACGGGACCCCTTTGTCAACCTCACCCAGGTGCTCCGCGCACCGATCCGCTCTCCGACGCTCGATCCTTATCGTCCAGTCACTCGAACTTGCTCCCAGAACGTTGACATAGACATGGAATTAAGCTATTGAATTGATTGGGTTCCAATTTGCGTAGAATACAACAATATGCGAGGAAAGGGAATGAAGAGCAAAGTTGAAAAAAATGGGTGAAGGCGACGAGGCGCGCGATCGAGCAGCAGCGACTGGGGACCCTTTTTTCCGCCAAAACCGATAACGAAAGTCTGCTGAAGCCTCGATCCGAGGGGTGTGGGCTCAGAGAAATGATATGATGAAGAGCAGTATCGAAAGGATGATGATGAGGCCAAAGACGGCCCAGGAGGAGGGGGAACCTGAACGTGCGGAGTTCAGAAAGAAGGCGATTAGTCTACTCCCATCCACTGAGTTTTGCTCATGACATTCGTCCTTGGACCTACTCTTATTCGCCTTGATGAACCGGTCCATCTTCCTCTGCGCCCTTTCAAGCCTCGTCCCTGTCGCGTCGACCTGTCGATCCAATTCGTCCAACATGCTATGTAAGGTCCCCTAGCGTAGTTCCGTCAGTTTCCGAGCATGTGAGCTAGGTATGAGGTAGTCCGCTTACGCGTTTTGGTCATAGACTTCTTGCCCCATCGTCCAAGCTTGGGCACGCAATTGTTCGACGGTGCCCGAGATCGAAGTCAGGGTTTGGTCTTGTTGTTCGATGAGAAGCTGGAACGTAGGTTCGATCAGTACGGCGATAGAAGTGATCCCCACCTGACCGTTATGGATTCCACTCACGGATTGATGCTGCATCTCGAAATCGGCGTTAGGGTCCGAATCTTGGTGCGTTTCCCCATTTGGAGCTGCGTCGTAGGGCGTGTCACGGTAAGGTGTGCCTGTGCCCTGTCTTGTGGAGGACGATAAGGGATTGGGTATTGTGGTGTGAGGCTTTTGGGATCGGGATCGGAATCGGGATCGGGAGGATTGCTGTGGGTGAGAGAACGTTAGGGACTCGGATGGTCGAGAACTCGGAGAGAGAGCGAGTGTTAAATCAGGACGCACGTTCGAGGATGCTCCGTTCGATGTGGCGAGTTGTTTCCTTGCGGTCTGAATTCGAAAATGTTGCGCCAGACTCAGTTCTGTGCATCATCGGCTGTATCGATAGCGTATCAGCAGAACTCAGAACTGACCTTCATCTCCTCCTTGACCCTCTCCACGAACCTCTTCCTCTGAGCCAACACCGCTGCACTCAACCCCAACCGACTACTGATCACTGGATCCCGCTCGACCAGATCGAGCGCCTCTTGCAACTCTTGGACGTCGTTGTCGAGCGCGGAGAGGAGCGCCAGCAGTTCCGAGTGCGCGTACGAGACGTCCTCCGCAGTCGATGACGGCGCACGCAACAGGCGCGCGTAGGACGATAGTAGGTTCGAGAGCTGTTGCAGCGAGTATTCGACTTCGCTGTTGATGGCGGACGGGAGAGTGGGGGGGTTTCAGTTTGGGAAAAAGGGAGGAGCAGGCGGCGTGGATGGGGGAAAGGTGGGGGGGAGAGGAAGCGGAAGACGGGTATGGGGCGCACTGGGCCGTGTACTTACGACTTTACTTCATCGTACGGATCGTCCATCGTGGCAGGTTGGTGAGGCGAGACCCGATCGCCGCTAGTTGGATGAGAAGGGACTCGCTCGGGTTGAGGTGCCAGTCGACGATGCGCCCCCAGCTGACAGAGCCAGACAGAGCCACCACCTGCCTGCCACCTGCCTGCCACCACACTGCCACCACTGAGCCGCACCGAGAGCCTGGCACTTAGTCTACCGAGCCGGTTGGTTGACGAGGCCCGAGCGCATGCATTTCCCTTCTTTTCACGTGAGCGTCTTGGCGAGATTTCTGACAAGAAAAAATAAAACTAGAATAAAAAACTCTCAAAGTCACAGAATACGGTTCTCGATTGCATAAGTCAGCAACGAGTCCGGTCTCACCGTGACTAAAGCCCGAATTGGAGACCACGAGGTACTTTTTGGGGGGCCGAGCCCTCAACGCGCGCGCGCGTGCTCGCTCCTCTTTCTCCCGCCCTCCCCACACAACCTCCCACAAGCCACCCGTGCATGTGGCGTCGCTTCACCTCTTTACGCCCCATCTCCACTTCCCCCATAACCCTTCCCCACTTTACTCGCAACAGAATGGCTTCGACCACCACGGCCTCGTCAGCGCACGGCGATGCGCGCTTTCTTGCAGACCAGAAACCACCAGTGTGTTCGTTGGGTATCGGGAACGCCTTTGAGGCTTTGACCAAACAAGAGAGTGAGTAGTGAATGCGTTGGTGTGATTGTGCGACGAGAAGGGCCGTGGCGCCTAAGGAGGTGACGCAGAGGCGAACAGAAGCCATGTGGGGTAACCACGGCGAGTCCAGAGCCGAGACTGAACCATTCCATTACACTCACTCCCACAGAACTCTACTCGCACCACCTCTCCCTCGCCTCGTGGGCAGGTGCAAGGATCATCATGGCCCAAACCTCCCCTCATGCCGAATCCATCTTTGATCTTCTCATCGCGATGTTCTCCAGTCGCGAGGATCATGCCAACTTGGCCGATTTGAACGCGATGAAGGACAAGAGTCAAGTCGGGGACCAGGAATGGGAGGACGTATTGGCCTATTCGGCGCAGGTCAGTTTTAGAGCTGAGCAGCGGAGAGTGTGCGTTCGAAAAAGAGCTGACCCTCGAGTGGCCCTCGAGAGCAGGTCCTCAGCAACTTGGCCCACTTCAAGAGCTTTGGTGGTACAAAGTTCGTCCCTCGCGTCGACGTCGAAGCGTTCGAAAAGGTCGTCGCTGCCGCCGAGAGGAAGGAAGATGTTCAAGCTCTGTGGGAAAAGGTAAGCTGCAACGCAACGCTTCCCAAAGAGGTGCGACCGTTGAGGAATCTTGCCTTTTTTTGAACTTTACAGACCAAGCAAGAGATCTACGCCCTCTCGCCCGTCTCCCAACTCGTCATCGGTAAACCCAGTGCGGGCCACCTGTCCAACTACTACCCCTCCGACCCGGCCCCTTCGGACGAACACGTCGACGAGGTGCAAAACTTGTGCGACCAAAACGGCATCTCGACGCTCAACACGAGATTGATCAAGGTCTCGGACCAGGAGCTCGTCTTGAAGCTTGCGTCGACGACGAAGGACGTACCGAGTTCGTACCCTGCCGAATTGGAGAGTTCCAAGTTCGGCTTCAAGGTCCGCATCGAAGGCGGCGACTACGCCAGCTCCCTCGCCAAGGTCAACCAAGGCCTTCTCGACGCCGCCAAGTATGCCGGCGACGACAACAGGAGCAAGATGTTGCACGACTACGAGAACAGTTTCAGGACCGGCGATTTGGAGAAGCACAAGGATGGCTCGAGGAAGTGGGTCAAGGATCAGGGACCGGTCGTCGAGAGTTATATTGGGTTCATTGAGAGCTACGTCGATCCTTTTGGCGCGAGGGCCGAATTTGAGGGCTTTGTCGCCGTCGTCAACAAGGAGGTGAGTCGTCGTGGACGCTAAAGGATACGTCGAATACCTCCCAAACTGATCGAACTCTGCTCTACTTGCGCCTCCTTGCCGACAGCAAAGCAAAAAGTTTGCCATCCTCGTCGACAAGGCGCCTCATCTGATCCAAGACCTCCCCTGGGGCAAGTCGTTCGAAGTCGATACCTTCCAAAGGCCCGACTTCACCGCCCTCGAGATCCTCTCCTTCGCGACCGGTGGTATCCCCGCCGGTATCAATATCCCGAATTATCATGATGTGAGGGAACAGGATGGCTTCAAGAACGTGTCGTTGGTCAACATCTTGGCGGCCAAAGCCGCGGGCGAGGTGTTGACGTTCATTGCGCCCGAGGAGAGGGAGGGGTACGAAAAGTGGGTCGATCGCTGCTTTGAAGTGCAAGTTTGCAATCACGAGGTGAGTGTACGAGTGTGTGCGTGCTCGGTCAAAGGGTTATATTACTAGCTATAGGGAAAAGCTGACGGATCTGCTTCATCGTCTTGACGAACCCAGCTCCTCGGTCACGGTACCGGTAAACTCTTGCAAGCCCGTCCCGACGGTTCGCTCAACTTTGATCGCTCAACCGTCCTGAACCCTTTGACGAACCAACCCATCGAATCATGGTACCAACCCGGCGAGACGTACGGATCACGTATCGGGCCTGTCTCGAGCGCGATGGAAGAATGTCGTGCCGAGGCCGTGGCCCTGTACCTCGCGAGTCATCGGGAGATTCAAGAGATCTTTGAGATTACCGAACAAGTGGATAGGGAGGATTTGGTGTACTATACGTTCTTGAGCATGGCTAGGGCCGGCGTCAAGGCGCTTGAATGGTATGATCCACTGACGGGCAGACATGGGCAGGCGCATATGGAGTGAGTTTTGGGGGGTGCGGGATGTTGGCTTGAGCAGGAGACTGATCGGTGTTCTTTGTGCTTGTGCAGGGCTCGTCATGGGATCACCAATTGGTTGATCGAGCACGGTATCGTCTCCCTCGAGACGAAACTCGACGCACAGGGTAAACTCGTCGATGCGTACGCCAGGGTCGATCGTCAGGCGTGTCTCGAGAAGGGCAAGAAGGTCATGGGAGGTGGGTTTGAAGAGTCCTTCTCAAGCCGTAATCGTGTGACGATACTGAATTGTTTTGGGATTCGTCCTTAGATCTGTTGCTTCACCTCCAAATCCTTAAATCGACAGGCGACGGACCCGGTGCGACCGCCTTCTTCAAGAAACTGACGACCCCTTCAAAAGAATGGGTCGACGAACTGAGGCCGTTGGTGTTGAGCAGCAAGTTGCCGAGGAAGATCTTCGTGCAGCCCAATACGGTCGTGACGGCGGAGAGCGGGGAGGTCGAGCTGAGGGAGTACGAGGTTAGTTTGGAAGGCGTTATCAGGAGTTTTGTGGAGAGGCGACTTTGAAAAAGAGTTGATTGGGGTTGGGAGGTTTGCGAGCGAGGTAACTTTCGAGTGAAATTGGTGAAGTAAAGAGATGTGGATTTCAAGAGATTGCAATCGGGCGATGAAGAGGGAGCCACGGATCATATATAAAAACTCGATGCAGAGCATGGACAACGAGGAAGGGAAGGCGTCACCAAGAACAACCGACTTGACGAGGCGATTGGTTGAGAGCCGGGGGGAGAGAATGTCGTCAACGACGAGTGTCGAGAGATAGTTTTAAGTGCTCTTAGTATTCTTCAGAGTTTGCAGCAGCTTTCCTCGATGCTGAGAGAAGGTTAAACACATATAATATGTTAGCTCGTCCACTCGGGACGTTTTGCGACGCAGTGCGGAGAAAGGAGTAATTCTTACGTCGCAGGATTGGCGGCGACGCACGCGGAGAACGCGCTCATGCGGGCTTTGTAGGTCTTGCAGGGGTTCTTTGTGAAGCTGGGTGACATCAAAGAAGATGGAAGTCATCGCGCTTCTTGGTGGTTAGCGAAACGCATGACGAGTTGGAGCACCGCTCCACCCAGTTGGGACGTACGAGGTGCAAGCCCTGAAAGAGGAAGGGGTCGGCCGGGCGTGATAACGTGCGTGCAGCAGACGGCGGTGCGAGGCGGTGAGTACGAGCTGCAGTTACGGATATACGCGATGGCCTTACCTGAACGCATTCTTGAAAGCAGTGCATCGTGGGGTGGGGCTTGGGTCTCCCTTGGAGTCGCTGACAAATGGGAATTCAGGGGTCAGTCACGGAACGACCGGCGGGCTCGGGGGCGAGTTTTGCCAAGACCAACTGCGTCGCTTCGTCGTCCCCGGGGTTGGAAGCGGCTACGACGTTCACGACGAAAAAGATGAGACCGATTTTGAAGAAGGCGATGTGCATGATGGGCTTCGAGAGAGATGTGTTCAGGACGCGTTTCGAGGGAGTGAGAATTGAGAGTGAAAGAGGGTAAAGACCCTGGTGCCAGTTTCGTCCCTTTCGGCTTTCTCAAATATGCTCAAGTCTGAAACATCGGGTGTTGAACGATTTATTAAAAGAGGACCCAAGTGGTCTGGCCACATAGGCCCGCTTTTCGTTGCTAGCCTCGATCGTTCTGGAAGGCCACGCTAGATGGGCCGTCGTCGCAAGGCTAATGGCGGTGAGGCTTTACCCCTGACGGACTGTCTTTGTTCCGTTTGAGTTACAACACCGAGTAGTACTCGTCCTTCGCTTACGCAAAGCGTAAAGTGCTGACATATTTCAAGAACGGTCATAATTCATTTCGTTTCGACCAATTCGGGGTCCTGGCCTCGTGGCTATTGCAGCCGCACAGGAGAGCCCGGTTTACGATGTCGAATCGGCCTAGCACCGAGGTTTTACCCCACGCTCAGCAAAAGACAGTGGTGGTGCCTAGTGACCTGTCGGCTACAAAAAAGGAACTGACATTGGGGTGATGACATGAAATCTTTGTACGCGTGCACAGGGGGCTCCCGCTTCGGTGATGCTTCCTTACTGTTTTGAGAATGCAACGAGCTACGCCATGGCTTTCGAATACTTAAGCTACCCTTCGCTCAAGTTGTCAAGCTCCGGAAGACGGCCCCGAAGGTTGTAAGACCCGCTTCCGGGGCGCTTTAATTCGCCAGTTGCTCGTACCACCAGGTTCAGGCACGGATAAGCGAGCAGCGGGAAATGGTCGAGCTCTCCTGCAACTGCCCGAGACGGATGCGGGCCGGCGAAGCGATGCAGTGCCTGCAACTTCTCCGAGTCGCCCGAGGCGGTGTGTGTCTCGACCAGGATCGATAAGAGGCTAATAATTTTGCTAGCCCTTGATGCAACATGGGTGACCTGACTCTTCTCAGCGCCTCTCTTTCCCGCGCAGGTCGCGATGCGCCCCGAGAGCCGAGCAAGTCAACTAACGAAAGGAGGTCGAGGTTCAACGTTCAAAAGTGACCGGCGGCGCCGGCCTCGGGCCGTCGCAGGCGAAGGTCTGAGGTAAGGTAGGGATAAAGAGCAAGCGGTGAATTAATCATGATGTTGGCCCGACTTGCTGGTTGATTACCTCGCCGGTTTTCAACATCTCCGTGATCAGTCGGCAACTCGGCCATTCCGAAGGACACCAGACCGAGCGACACGTAGTAACGCTTCGACCGTTGCGTCAAATGTTCGGCGTTGCGAAAATACAACAACTAGAGGTTCAGGGGTTAAGGATTTCCTGAATCTCTTGGAGCTGAAGGGTTTGTTCTGAAATATGAAAGATCATGCTATTCTGAAATAGATGTGCTTCTTGAGGAGTGGCGCAGACGGCAGGTGGTGGGGAGGAGGGGAAAAAGGACCAGCTATACAGGCGCCTTTTCGGATCAAACTTTTCTTATTCATCGTGAGTGAGAATTGTGGTCACTCGTCGTCTGGCTGGGTTCGCCTCAGGCGACTGAGACCATTTCCGACGTCTTCGTCGGTTCGTTTCAGCAACGCGACGGGTCGGGGATCTCCCGGCTCAAATGGCAGCGAGGGTGCAAGTTGTGGCACGCGATCAGAGTCTCGTAGTGCACGACACCAGGACACTGAACATGATCTAAAGGCGCTGTGTTGATGCCAGTGATAGCAAAAGTATGGGACACTATCGATTGTCGAGCAAGGCAAAGTGATTCAGCGCGAGCGCTCCAATTTCTGCAGGGGCCGCTTGCAGTGCTTGGCTCTTTCAAAGGAACAGCGCCGGTCCGCCGCGTTCACACCGAGTTCACTGTCGGATGGTGCACCGCATGAACTCGGTTTCATTTCTAAAACCAACACAGTCTCCTGACTCATACGACGTATGGTACGACTTCTCTGAATCCGACCCCACATCTGCCGTTCGGCGGTACTCTATAACGATCGATTCGTGCGAGCTTTGAAACCACTCACGAGGATCGTGTCTCGGTGAGAAATCGAGCAACCCCTCTGCGCGTGCGCGCGTCGCGTTATCTCCGCCGGTCATTTCCAGGAAACATCATGGCGAGGGTGACCCAGGAAACATGGCGAGGGTGACTCAGCGTCTATAGGCGAAAAAGGATGAATCGTCACGAGAGTCGGTGAGGTTGTGTTGAGGATGACGGTGCATTTCGTTCAGAAAGTCGTACCAGCATATCAATAATTGTGTCCTTCCGCTATTAGTCCAACTTAGAACGTCGAGTCTGGGCCCCACATGGAGCTGACTCGGACCACCCGACGAGTCGTGCTGGGTCGGGCTAGAGACCGCCGCGGCCCTGATAACTCAAATCGGTGATATCTAGCAGTGAACTCATGCACCGTGTTTCTATGCCAAAGAAACGAGTTTACGTCAAGAGAAGTTCAAGTCTTGTCTACAGCACTGCCGAGTCACGTGCTCCTTGTTCGCTGCGGAGATGACGGCGGGCGATTTCGCGATGCTCAAATGCTCTCAAGTTGCCGCCCGCTCACGCCGAGTTACCGGGTGCGAAGCGCGGGCTTTCCTCGTGCTTATACTCCGTCGCCGTCTTCCCCGCTTTCCTCCTTGCACAGCACACCGCGTCCCACACATCAAAAGGAGCACGTGCATACAATGTGGCCATTCTCCTCGTCCTCGTCCTCCTCAACATCCACTGCAACCACCTCCACCTCCGCGCTCCCCGCCGGTGGTTCACCCTCCTCGATCCCGGATCGCTCAGCCCGTCAAGCCTGCTGGGATCATCGTGATGGCTATTTCGGATGTTTAGAGAAGAACGCGGTGATCGTTCCTGGAGCTGAAAAGGAAAAGGGACTTTGTCAAAGCGAGAGAGAGGGGTACGAAGCGCGGTGTGCGCAGAGTTGGGTAAGGTTCCCTGCGATTGCGACTCGGAAGCCTTGGGGGAGGGGTTGCTGATCGGGGTTTTTTCTTTTTTCTTTTCTTTTTCTTCCCCCTTTCTTCTTTTGACTGTTTGGTGATACAGGTCGATTATTTCAATAGTACGTTCATGGCAGTCTTTTCTTGAGATGACGTAGAGTACCGCGATCACTGACTCGATCAACTCGTACGGTTGTGCTCTTTACTTCTCCAGAACGAAGGATCCTGCAACTCCGACAAGATCGTATGAACGCACAACAAGCCGAACAACTAAAGGCACAAGGTGGTACAGCGACAAGAGCATGATAGAAAGATCGGTGCAGCAGATGGGCGAGAGAAGGAGAAGGAGTTGAGGAAAGGTACGTTCGACGCTCCTTGGTGCACAGCCCATTTACGGTCTGCTGATCGGTGCTGAGAATGTTCGTAAAGGATGTTTCGAGCTCGGATGCAATGTCATGTATCATTCACCTCTTGTCCGAGGCATCGTCCTCATCACGGCCCAAGTCTCTCGCGACGGCGCTCACGATATTCAGAGAGTACCAGAACAGGGGTATCCAACTCGAACCAAGATGCATCATCACACCAATACCCTTCACCTACAAGAAATAGCGCAAGGTCGAACAACCCCCCCCCCCCCCCCCCCGGGGAGAATATGCACAGGCTTTAGGAAGAAGAGGGTCGTAAAAGCGCGGTCAACTAAAAAAGCGGAATGGTCGAAAAAAAAGCACGAATCGTGTCGAGGGTCGTAGAGGCATCGCGGAATGGACACGTGAGGAATCAAAAACGGTTTACGAGAGGAGAGAAAAGCTTTTATAAGAGGGGGGTCAATTAAAATTCGTTCGCACAGTCGAGGTAGGGAGGTAAAACTTTGCGGAAGCACGAGTCGTCGACAAGCGACATGTTTTCACCATCCTCGTCTCGCGGCATTCGGAGCCGGGCTCAGTCGATCCCATTCGCCATTCTTGTTGCCATGATCGGGATCAGGACTCGTGCCCTCGGCAGTGTTGGGAGAGACCGAACGCGTCGCGGTACGATCGTCGACGTTCAATGCTCCGTCGCCGGGGAGGGCCATGTTCGTCTTCAGGCGCACGGTCTCGAAGACCCTGAGAGCAAAAAAAATCGGAGATAGGTATCAGCGCGCTGCTCGAGCTAGCGAAAAGACCCCGTCGACACTCACTTGAGCAACTTCCTCCTCGCGCCCAACGCGGCGACGCCCTTCTTCTCCAACCCCTCATCATCCAGCATGACCATCTCCTTCCAATTCGAATCCTCGAACGTCGAAGTATACTTGTGCAAACGCAACGAACGGAGCCAAAGGGGTACATCAGAAAGGAGGGCCATGTCGAGGGGCTCATCGGGGTTCGCTCCGGAGCCGGCGACGGTGGCGGAAGCGCCGGGGTTCGGAGTGGAGGTTTTTGAAGGGGGGTAGCCGGGCGTTCCCGGAGAACGGTCGATGCGGGGTGAACGACGAGCTTGGTTGATACCATCTGAAGATCAACAAAGTGGGGTTACCGATCAGCATCCTTCGCGCGTTGCTCGGTCGGTACCCATGCACGGTCGACTCACTCATTCCCAAACCGGCGTTGCCGAAACCCATCGGACTCGTCGGGACGTAGTTGCGACCACCAGGGGAGAGAAGCGCTTGTTGTTGCTGCTGAAAATGCATCATTTGCACGGGCGAGAGACCCATACCTGTGCGTACAAGGTTCAGAGCGAGTCTAGTGAGCATGAGCCAACCACAATTTGAATGGAAGATTACAACTCACCACCTGCGGCCAAGTTGCTCAACACCTGCATTTGCTGCTGTTGCTGAATCATCTGCTGCTGCAACGCCAACAGATTCGCCAACTGTGCATTCGTCGACGCTTGACCTGCTCCTCCGCCGCCCATCCCGAATTCCGTCGAGCCGAGCGAAGGTGAGAAACCCGTATCGGCGCCAACTCCTAATCCGGCATTCGTGACGCCCAACCCATTGCGCCAGTTTTGTTGCGCCGCGACGGCGGCTTGTTGTGCCGCGATCAGACCGGGGGAGTTGAGTGCGCCGGATGAGTTGAGACGCGACGAACCGAGACCGGGTGACGAGTGGTGTTGTTGTTGTTGTTGCTGGGCTTGTTGGAGACCGGCGAGACCGAGGTTGATGGCGTTTTGTTGCATCGAGCTGAATTGACTCGCGCCTGTACCTGCTGGGCTGCGAGGTCCGGCTCGGTCGTCGTACATCCCCGACAAGGCTCCCTCCGAAATTGCGGCACCCGAAGGGGATCCACCGACACCGCCACCACCGAGACGGGCCGAGCGACGGAACTTGCGCACGTCGTTGTCGACCAGCACGGGGGAGACGGAACCGTTGTGGACGCCGCCGCTCGACCACGTGTTGTTGCCGATACTAGGCGAATTGCCGCCATAATTGCCCGGTTCCATCTGCGAGCCCGGTTCAACACCCGCTTTACCGAACATCGGAACCAGGGGCGTGTTGACCATGCTGGCCCACGAACCACCGACCATGGGTGAAAGTTGAGGGATGTCGGAATCGACGCCGGAGGAGCGAGGGAACGAAGCCGTCGTTGGCGGGCCGGTCGAATGGGAGAGATGCAAGCCGCTGTGAGCACCATTCGGATGCGCAACGTTGGCACTGAGATGATCGGACCCGGTCGAACGAGGACGGTCACCGGGGGACGGCGATCGACGTTCGAGCAGCGTCTCCTTCTCGGACCAGAGCGACGAGGTCGACTTGTTGGCATCGTGACCGGCGCTCAACAGCAGATTCGCAGGAGCCGAGGTACGAGCAGTGGCCTTGAGTTTGGCGCGTTGGTTCGCCAACGTCGCTGCGGCGGTCGGGTCGTCCGAATTTGCAGCCGTTGGAGACGGAGGTCCAGGGACGGAAGCGGAGGGGTTCGATGCCGAATGAGGCGAGAGGTAGGAATCGCCGAGGGATTGACGCGCAAACTGACGCACGACCGGCGAGGTCGATCCTTTGAGACTTAGCGATGCAACTTTAGCTTCCATTTGGTTCTCCATCGATTCTACGAGCACGAGAGGGGTTTGGACGATCAGCAACAGGTATCGAGGACCGGGAAGATGAACATCGCTGACTGACGTTGATTCGGGTTGGCCGGACTGAGAAGCGACGTGACTGGGTCGGCCCTGGCCATCTGCTGCAACACGGTGATGAAGAAGCGCATCTGCACCTGCGTCGACGACTGCAGCAGCGAGTAGAGCGCTGCGGTGCGTTCAGCCTCGGACAGGACTCTGAACCATTGCTCGATCGCGGAGAGTTCTTCCTTGAAGTTGGAATCGAGGGAGGCCGCGGCCATTTCTTCGAGTGTCGTTTCGTAGTGCTGTAGGTCTTCGAACCAGCGGTCGATCGCTGTGTGAGACAGATGGTGGAGTGTCTCGGTGTCAGCTGATCCGGACTCGGACGATGCAACAGGAGGCAAGACGGGGGGGTGTCGTCCGACATGTATCTGAAGGGCTCACCCTCCGCTACGTGGGGAGATCAGACATCACACATCAGCTTTCGTATTTTGATTGATCACAATGGCCAGGAGAGCCTCGAACGCACATTCGACGTTGGACAAGTTGGGAGGCTGATGCATCGACGCAGCATGACTGGCCGAGAGGAAATCGCTCGCTGGGCGCGCCCTGTTCCAATTGCCTCCACCGGCCGAGTTGGGCGTTGAGCTACTGACGAGACTGGCATGGGAATGGGGACCACCGGACGTTTGGGACGAGAAACCAGCGCGCATGCCTACGGCGTCGATGCTGCCCCGTGCGCGCGCTGCGTCGGCTGAAGGGGGTGGGCGCGAAGGGAGTGAGGACAGACCGGAGGTGTGTTGTTGCTGCTGTTGCTGTTGCGGTTGCTGAGCCTGTTGTTGGGACTGCTGGATCGCGCCAGACATGGTCGCGGAGAGCGAGTGGTGGCGAGGCGCACCGCCATGGCCGGCAGCAGCGACGCGTTCAGAGGCACCTGCGGACATCGTTCGACGCGTTCGTAATCGGTGTCGGTCTTACTGGGCTGCGTCCGGAGAGGTGAGAGAGAGAGACCGGCTCGGATGGAGTCTGGGCGTGAATTGAGCAGAGGCGGGCTGGTGGCTGCCCGTGCAGTTCGTTGCCAAGTTGGGGGCGGCGCGCGTCGGAACGTTGTTCGGGTCGACGCGAGGGGGAGGTGACACGCGCGCAGCTGACACAGGGTGAGACAGCGTCGGTGGAGGTGGAGGGGAGCGCGAGCGAGACGAGCCGATGGAAGAGAGAGAGAGAGAGAGAGAGAGAGAGAGAGAGTAGTGACCACTTCTGAACCTGGCGAGTCAACGCACTAGCAGAATCACACGACGACGCTGACACGAACAGGAGGAGAGGGGCGAGGCGTGGCTGCGAACAAAGCCGGCTGCGACTGACGCGCTGACGACAGCTGACGACTAGGACGACTTGCGCGTGTTGACTTGGCTTGGCCAGCTTGCAGGCCTGGCCAGGCTCCGGCTGGCCGAATACGAAGAAGGGGGGGGGGGGGGGCATTAGCAATTTGTAATCAAACGAATGCGCGCGCGCGCGCTTGCACCGCGCCCGCCTGGCTGCCGAACGGGGGTAAAGTTGAGGCACCATTCAACTCGGAAGCATGTTGTAGTCTGTTGTAGTACGCTTCGAGCTGCTTCGAGGTCACGCGAGTCGAGATCGAGATCCCGCGCCGATCGAGTCCCCTCTCATCCTCCGCCCATCCTCTCCGTGGTCTCCATTTCATCCGTCTCCGCTCAACTCGATCTCGGCTGGTCGCCCAGGCTCGTTCGTGTACATAGTTTCCGAACATGCTACGGCGGTTGTCGAATTTCGCCACGTCGAGGCGCCGTCGTGGCGCCGACAGTTATGGCGGCAGTCCTGCGCTCCCTTCCAGTCGAGACAATTCCCCTCAAGCCTTCCGCAACGAGTTCGAACCTTACGTCTACAACAACAGCTCGGCCAAGAATAAGAAAAAACGTCCTCCGCTCGTTCGGATCGTCGCGGCAGTGGCGGTCGTCGTGTTGGTGATCTTGGTTTGGTGGATGAGGAAGGATGGGCCGGATCGACAGAGGGAGCTCGGCGGAAGGAAGGTCATGTCGAGGGATTGGAGGGGGGATAAGATCAAAGTCAACTTTGCCAACGTCAAGGCGAGCTCGACCGAGAGGGTGCCGACGGTCATGGTCAGTCGGTTCGGATTCCTTCAACATTTCGCCTTCTTCGCCGCGGAGTCCGCGCGCAGGAGAAACAAATCATCGTGTGCTAATCGAACCGTTCTTAAGCGTCATCAGATCATGTGCACGATGAAGGACTCGCTCGAACACATATGGCACTTTTTCCAACTCGTCGACACGCTCGACTACCCTCGCTCAAAGTTGCAAATCGCGATCCTCGTTTCAGACACCCAAGACCGCACCTACGAACGAGCGCTCGAGCTCGCCGACGAGAGGCAGTACAAACGACCCAAGAAGCAACAGTACGGTCGTATTGTCGTGTTGAGGAAGGACTTTGCGATGGAGGACCCTTCGGCCTTTGCGGCGATGGGGGGCATCATCCCTGCTCCCGCGAGGATGCCTTCTTCATCCGAGAAACTCGAGGCCGTGTCGGCGGATACAATCGTCGGTGCGGGGAAAGCGAGACATGCATTCGGGGGTCAGATCCACAGAAGGAAGATGCTGGGTGTGTCGAGGACGTGGTTGTTGACGTCGGCGATGACGCCTGATATCGACTACGCGCTCTGGATCGACGTCGACGTCGTCGATTATGACAAGCGGCTCGTGCAAACGTTGTTGGAGCATAGTGTCAACGAGAAGGCCGATGTTGTTGTGCCGAACTGCGTGTGGAAGACGTATAATGAACTCGGGTGAGTTTGAAACCCGGTGTCTCTCGGCGATTTGCGATCGTCGGAGCTGAGGCTGTTCGCTTCTGCTCACAGCTCTTACGATCGAAACAACTGGCAAGAGACGCGCGAGTCTACCGCTCTCAAGCAGACGCTGCAGGAGGAGGAAGTATTGATCGAAGGTGAGCACAAACTCCGTGAATTCGAGAAATTTTCAGCTCCCTCATTCGCTTCGACCTCGCTCCACTTCGCAGGCTACGAAGACTACATCAAGACCAAGCGTCTCAACATGGCCGACATGGTACCCTTCACACCCCAAACGCCGAGCGTTCTCCCCCTCGACGGCGTAGGAGGCTGCACGGCGCTCATTGTTGCCGGTCTGCATCGCAAGGGCGCTATCTTCCCCGCTTGGCCGGTGGATCATCAGCTGGAGACGGAGGGGTTCGCGCAGTTGGCGAAAAAGTTTGGGGGGAGGATGGTGGGGTTGCCAAAGTACTACGTGTTCCATGGTGAGTGACGGGACCTTTTTTTCTGGGAGAGATGAATGGTAGCTGATCCGGTCGATCTTTCCGCGTACAGGCCTGTATGGCTAGGCTGGCTCAAGCGAAGGGACGATCTTGTATCCGAAAAGTGAGAATGTGTTTTTCGGTTTATGATGTTGTAGAGGCTTGTAGCGAAAGAAGAAGAATTGTCATTCCAAGCGTTGACTCAGAATTTGACGTGCATCGTGCGACTCGATGCCCTCGGAAACCTCGTACAAGGAGCCGGCCCGGAGCGATCGGCGGACGGCCCCGTTCCGTCGAGAAGATCGAACTGCGGACTCGGGGGAAGAAGTTCAAAGAGTCGGTCATGAACCTTTCAATCACCTGCAAGTTCATTTTGTACCATGCCAGGTGTGCGAGCTTAAGACAGTTTCGAACCTTGCCCTCGATTCGACCGTTCTCCCTCGTGAATAATCGAACGGGAGGACTTTTGAACGAGCCTGAACTCGGAGACAGAAGCGGTGTGGAATCGGTTCTTAAACGATTGCCACCTGCAGCAGATAAGAAGATCCAGAATAAGTAAGATTCGCCCACATGGCGAGAATACGTAACGGTCACAGGCCAAGCAAGGCTGAACGTGACGGTCTGCCGTCCCCATCTTTCGACTTGAAAACCCTTTCGTCCAATTTGGAAAGTCGAACCAGACGTGCTCGCACGCGAAGACAAACCGAAAGCACTGCTACCACAGGAAAAAAAAAAGTGGCTATGAAAAACACTCGGATAGTCGACGGGTGGACAGTGGGTTATCGTCCGGCACGATGAGCCGCGAGTGCCGTCGACGTCGTACCGAAGGCAAGGCGTCGAACGTGCGCTCGTCCGCGGTCCAAACTCCTGATTAGACCTGCTCCGAAAATTCCGGTGCGAGAAATGAATGAAAGATGAAAGTGGAAGTGAGGGATTTGAGGCCACTCGTCGGCTGTGTGTGAGACATCGAGTGTGATCGCTCGGCGTCGGTCAATTTGTCACAAGGTGCGATCGAAGAACTGGAGAGCGCGCGTGGAAGGAATTTCGGTCCGAGATGCGCTCGGGTCGCGATATGGACGACTGCGCGACTGGTTTCGTGGCATGGGGTCTTTTTTTAGACTGTGCTGAGCAAATTATCAGCAGTGTGCCTACGTGCCCAGTAGGTAGGCACCTGTTACCCCGCCAGATTGTCAATCGGCGCTTTTTCCCGACGTCGAGCGTGCGCGAGGGGACGATGGGCTCACTCCGAGTCGTGCGCACGTTCTCCTTTCGGCCGCCTCCAAGCTCTCAACGTGTTCGGCTGCTGAGCACAGCTTCGACCTGATCGGCTTGCGTAAAGGACCGAGCGAGCGAACGGGCGGCCATTGGGTGTCGATCACATTGCGTTTCAGTGGGTCAGGAAGGATGGGATCGAATGCAAGATGCAGTTGCCCCTCTTCTTCTCCTTCTCCCTCTCCACCCTCCATCCTCCGATTACCCCCACATCGCCTCCAGCGACACCATGGTCTTCCAATTCATCAAGACGGTCGGCACCCTCTCGTCCCTGGTCGCCCTCGCCCAGGCCGGTCCTTCCTATTCGGCACCTTACTTCCTCCCTTGTCAGTACCCAGCTGCCATCCCGTATTGAAGAGTGCCCCCCCGTGCTGCCCCCCCGTGCTCATCACGCGCGCTTCTCCGCTCGCAGCGATCGACTCGAACGCCAACTTGACCACCGTCTTCTCTGCAACCGGCGCGCCGGGCATCTTCAACTCTTCCACGACCCCTGACAACATCTATGGCACCTACAACTGTAGATCGAGCTCCGGGAACTTGACTTTATGACCTCAGAACACTGACCTTCCCAACTCGCTCCATGTGCAGGGTGCAACATGCCTCGTCAGTACTCGACCTCGTCGCGTCACCGTGGAGCTGCGAAGCTGACCCGGCACCCCCCCTTACTCTCCTGTAGACGCTCGCAAGACCGAGTACGTGAAGCCTGGAAACGGTTGGAGCTTGCAATACGTCGAAGTCGTCCAGAGGCACCACAAGCGTACCCCTTGTAAGTGTCTTGTCCTCAGCCGAGCCTCCGTGGCCCCCACATGCGGGCACCCCACTTACACTCTCCGCCTACGCCCCTTCGCAGACTCGTCCAACCTTTGGCCCGTCGAGAACGGAAACTGGACCTGCCCCGGCAACCACCTCGCCATGGGTCTCGCCCCAACTTCCGCTGCTCAGCCCAACGCTCCCGTTTCGTGGAACGTCTACCAAGACTCCAACAACCCCTTCACCACCCCGACCGGCGCCACCTCGGGCTTCGTCGGCAGCGACTGCCAGTTTCCTCAGATCACCGACCAAGGTTTGACCGACTCGTTCACCCACGGCTCCGATCTCGCTGGTGTCTACCGCGACATGCTCGGGTTCTTGCCCAAGCAGCTTGATCCGACCAAGCACACCTTCAGGGTCAGTCTCTAGCAGATTCGTTCGACGATCCGCGATCGGCCATGCGGTCTTCGAGCGCAGCAGTATGCCGACTGCATCGCCTTCGCCTTCCCTTCTTATCTGCAGGTCACGAACAACGTCATCACTTCTGAGGTCCTCGGTGGCTTGGTCATGGGTCTCTTCCCCACCACCCCCGCCTCGGGCATCGCCGCCGCGGTCCAGAACTCGGCCTCCGATTCGCTCGAGCCGACCATCTCGTGCCCTTACGCCAACACGATTCTCGCAACTTATCTCTCATCGTCCAACTCGACCTGGACCAACCATCTTCAAAAAGCGAGCAGCTTGTACTCGAGGTTGGACGCCGTCTCTGGCGTAGACCCCAACAACGGCGGATGGCACCAAAGCTTCGACCACTACTACGACAACTTGTCGGCCAAGCTTTGCCACGGCAAGCCTATGGGCTGCAAGGTCGGCGACCCTTCGACCTGCGTCAACTCTGCTGATGTGAGTTCTTCTTCTGTTGCTCGATGACCCATCTCGAGGCTGATACTTCCTTGGGCTTCTTGCGATCTCCCAGGCCGAGACCGTCTTCCGCATCGGTCAATACGAATACTTCTACAAGTTCCGCTCCGCGCCTCAGTCTGCGACCTACTCAACGCTCCTCATCGCCGCCTTCTTGCAAGAGCTTCGCAGCCATCTCCAGGCCGGTGTCCAAGGTGGCTACCGCCACAACGTCGCGCACGACGGCTCCATGTCGTTGTTGTTGGGCGCGTTTCAGGTCGACAAGATGGTTTGGCCCGGCATGGGAAGTGGTGAGTGATTGCCATCTCGATGATCTCGATTATCACACTTTGGTTTGCACCTTCGTTCACTCGCTGATAATGCATTCGTCCGCACATCTTCCTTCTTCAGAACTCATCTTCGAGCTCTATAACAACAAGTACGATCGCCAGGCGATCCGTATCCTTTGGGGTGGCAAGCCCCTTGTCACGAGCGGTCCATTGGGCACGATCGACATGGTCGACGTGCGCAGGTTCTACCAGGTTCGTCGGACTTGCTCATTCGCCACTGATGACTAAATTGCTCTTGTGTACTGACCTTCGTTCCATGCTATTCTTGTCAACAGTATCTCAGCGACCAGTTGCCCACCAACTTGGTCACCGCTTGCGCCAACTAGAAATAGAAAAAGGATCCGAAGGGAGGTTTCGTGATCGAGTTGTAGAGAAAGGGGCCATTGTGGACGAAAGGGGCTCATGGGTTTTCGATATTCACTTGCGCTTCTCATAGCGGTTATCTTATTGGGGGATGCACTGTTTATATGGGCACTTCTGAAATATCAAATGCCAAATCATTAGTCTATAGGTAAATCACCCCCCCCCCCCCCCCCCCCTAAAAAAGGTTAGCTCTTGGAGTTAGGTGGTGGCCCCAGAGGCAAAAAAGTCACGTGATGTTGTGTTTTTGATCTTCATTGCATTGACTCAACATCAGCACGACCCAGTGTAGCTCGAACTTTTCGTGGCCATGCAGAGAGATTGCGCTCATTTGCTGTTCCCGCACCGTCCGGTGCCGATTCCAGTTCTCGCACCGTCCGGTGCCGATTCCTGTTCCCGCACCGGCCGGTGCCGATTCAGATTCCAGTTCTCGCACCGGCCGGTGCCGATTCAGATTCCAGTTCTCGCACCGGCCGGTGCCGATTCCTGTTCTCGCACCGGCCGGTGCCGATTCCAGTTCCCGCACCGGCCGGTGCCGATTCAGATTCTTGTTCTCGCACCGGCCGGTGCCGATTCCTGTTCCCGCACCGGCCGGTGCCGATTCCAGTTCTCGCACCGTCCGGTGCCGACTCAGATTCCAGTTCTCGCACCGGCCGGTGCCGATTCCTGTTCCCGCACCGGCCGGTGCCGAAACAGATCTCACTATTTGGGCACTTTCCATACCAGGGCAAATGCCTCCCACCAGCGCACTTGAGGCCGGCCCTCGCAGCCTTCGGCCACCGGCGCTCGCGATCTCCGAAATGGGAAACCCATTTCGGGCTTCGGTGTATCGCTGGAGCGGAGGCACGGCAGACTTGAGGACTTGTAGACGTAGATAAGTTTATTTTAAATCTGTACCGATCCCAACTGGTGTGTACATGCTTAATTTGTGCTATTATGCATTGTGCTTTGAGTGTATTCAATTACACTAGTCGTTTTGGCCTTGACGACTTTGCCGCGCGCGGTCCACTGCCTCTTGTCGTCGGGCCAGAACAAATGTACGGACATGTCCGTCCCCTTGATTTAGGGGACGGACATGAGGGGACGGACATGTCCGTCCCTTGATTTTAGGTCCATAATATCAGATAATACTGATGCTGTTGAGCAATTATATGAGTAGAATCACTTTGAGTCTGCAAGGAGAACATGATAGCATGGGTATTTTAGTACTCATGATGAATCGAAATTGTCATGTCTGTACCGCAGATCTCGTGTCCGTACCGCAACCCCACCGCATGTCCGTCCACTTGTCGGTCGCGCGGTCTGCGGTACGGACATGGCTAGGAGATGTTGGCACACATCCGACCAATTGCAACGCCGCGGCTTCGCTCGCTCCGAAGTGGTCAGTGTGACAGAAGACATGTGGCTGTATAGATTAAACCTTGTTAATACCTCATTACATCAACGAATACCTAGGAATCATCTTCGAGTGGTGATTTTGCCCGTCAAAGGCCATGTATAGTGCAAGTCATGAACGCCGGACGATCGAGCCCCTTTTCGCCGACAGTGCTAAGTGGACGATCTTCTCCGCGCCATCATCATTTCCCTGTACTTTTGCAAACGAATCCCTTTTCACGGAAGGAAAAGGCGTCAGATCGACCTCACAGAGCATTGCGATCATCGTCGAAGGCGGGTGACCGAACTTGTGCGCAAACGAAGTGCCGACCTTTTCACCGACGTTCTATTAAAGAAAGCCCAATCTCAGGCTCTGTTCACGCTACCAGGTATAATTATCTCTTCATTCATATCACAGCAGTGCGGTCTGCGGGAGACTGCCTGTGAGACATGCTTCCAGGGACACGCCCGGCGGCTGACTCTGACTCGGAGTCTCGTCAACCATCGCGCGATGATCTCGCCCGTACTCGGATCAAAAATGTGCTCCCGAATACGATGTCTTTTCCTCAAATCTTCCGACATAGCTCGTCTACATGCGAAGAACAGCCCTTCAGTAAAGGAATGTCAATTGTACAAGCATGCTCAGTGACCTGGACGAATCGACCAAGTTTTCGCCGCGGACGCCGGCCGACTCACTCGTTCACTGCAACGACTCCCGCCGCCAAGCGCTGAACTCGGAATTACTCGCTCTCTCTAGCCTTAAGCTTTCTCGCACCCCTTTTCGAGTTTCAAACAGATATACGCCTTTGAAGGTTGACTGGACCTGAGCCAATCGCAGACCGATCTCACGGCCGAGTGCGCCGAGCTTCGGAATCTCGCGCGGTTAGCTGATTGGCTTGACTTCACGCGCGCCGACGCTCCTTTCCCTCTCCCCACTCACTCGCACCACTCGCACCACTCGCACCACTGGCCTCGACTCGGACTCGGCACTGATCGCACCACGCCACACCTCGACTTCACATGCTTTCACATCGTCACATGCGCCATTCAATCCGCAAGATGCAATTCGATCTCTCTCAACTACAGCTCAACGTGTCACTTCAAGCCGGCTGATGCGGGCACGGTGCGACGTCGCACGACAAGACTATCAACACCTCCAACCTCGTCATTTTCGGCACGATACGATGGGCAATCCTATCTGAGAGGGAGTGGTCACTTTCAGCAGCGTGCTAGCTTGCCTCGATGCATCGCTCGAGCGTTTTCGGTCGGACACGTGCTCGGTCACCCCGATCGCGCCCTCGACATTGGCCGACTCGCTGCCATCCGAGCCTCGCACCACACCGCTCTGACTGGTATGGTCATACTCTGCGCATCAGCACCATCGACAAGACGCTCAACTATCCCGAGGTCATGAATCGATGCAAACATTACTCGATCCTCGTCGCCCCACCCCCGAACACCACTGTCGACCAGTGACGATCTCCTCCGCCACCCCCACATCGTGCACCCGCGTCGTCAACGTCAACCAATCGCACGAATGCATTCCCTCACATCTCTTTCTTGATCGAGTCGAAGAGTCTCATCGACGTGGCTAGCTTGGGGTTTGTTGGAACATCTGTTGCACGACTCGACTGATTTCGTCAATGTCAAGATCGGAGACGTTCATCGGCACAAGCACTTTCACCCCGTCTCGACTGCGCCGCGAATCACTCAACCTCCCGCGCTCGTCGTCCAGCTCGTCGAATCATCCATCCAAAGCCACTAAGTCTCATCTCGTGCTAAACATCCCACGTTCCTGCTCGCCCTCCTCGCCATTCGAATCGATCGGACTTGCACGCTGGCTTTCAACCTCGTCGATCGCACCATCTGATCGACTTTCCGGCAAAACTCTCGACATTTGCCACCGAACACCTCCTCATCGCTTCACATCTTACTCAAAGTCCATCGTCCGTTGCGCACGTTGAACCGTACAATCACGACTGGCTTCTCCGGACCTCTCGGCGCTCGGTTTCGGCGTTGGATCGTGACGATCCTGCGACAATCGATCTTGGCGATTCGCTCGACCAGCTTGATACGTGCGATCACTGTCCCACCTCGGCGACTTGCGCGTTTGTACAATCTTTGGCAACCCTGGACATGCGGTCATGAACTGCGATCGGCGTTGCATGGCGCTCCATCTCCTCTCGTTTCGCTTGCACTCACCTCGCTGGGTGTCGACGAACTCGTTTGGCAGTCACAAAGCGAGCAAACATCCGAAAGGTCAGTGCGGCCCTTCAACCTGACGTCCTTAACTCTCTTCACACCGCGTGTTGCAAGTCTGTGCCCTCTTGCTTATGTTTGACTCTTCTTTCGCTCCACCAGGTCTCATTCCGGCCTGCGCCTAACTCGACTCTTTAAACTTTGACTCGCTCGAAACCGTTTCTAGCTCTCATGGATAAATGATCGTCGACTCTTCCAATTGAGGATTCAGACTTCTTCGGGGGGACTTGCTCTGCTCGACTTTGATCTCCTCTCAATCGGCCCTGACCTCAAACTCAGTGCGATAGATCGCTCGTCGAGGATGGTGGAAGCTCGTATCTTTGCCGTTGCTGCCTCCGCCACCCAAGACTCGATAAAGACTCGATATTCGCCGATCCCTCGCACCACTCGACTCGACTCGTCTTTTCTCTCACTGCACGAAGTCACGACGACGCAACACCTCTTCGCCATGGTGAAACACGACTTGGCCGGTACATGCGGCTCGACCTTACTCGACCCGGCACTTGAAGTGTGAACCCGAGCCGGCTGAGGCAAGCGCGGAACCCATTCAGCAACTGCAGCACCCTCAACATCGCCAATCGGCTTTCAACGACTCGATAACGAGCTCGAAGGTACGTACAGTTGCGTCCGGGCTATGTCACTTGCTCACTTGAGCCATCGCGACCGGAACTGCTCGACCTCGGACGACTCGCTCAGACCGCCCACAGTGAGCTGTTTCGATCTGAGTTCTCGCTTGCGATTTGCACCCCTATATATATGGGCAATTCCCACATACCACATACCACAGACTCCCGAGAGACCCTTGCAAAGAAGCTCGCACGAGCACCCTGTGCTATTTGACAAGCCCGCGCCTAGCCTGCAAAGAAGCTCGCGCGAGCATCTTGTGGTATTCGACAGCCGCGCGCCCAGCGTGTCAGATACCAGACTCCGGCGCCTGCCTTGCAAAGATGCTCGCGCGAGCATCTTGTGTTATGTGACATCCGCGCGCCCAGCCTGTCAGATACCACAAGAAGCTCACGCGAGCATCTTGTGCTATTCGACATCCACGCGCCCAGCCTGTCAGATACCACAAGTATATAGGTATCATAGGTGGGGTACAGCCCAATTCCGGTTTACGTTTTGGATTAGAACCCCAAATCCCCAGTGAAAATGAAAAGTGGCAGTGCAGGGGGAATTGCTCGTGCACTGCTGAAATCCGGTTGCTCGAGGATGGAAGGCGACCCGGGGTCAAAATCGCCAAATCGCAGTGCAGGGGAAATTGCTCGTGCACTGATGAAATCCGGTTGTTCGACGCTGGAGGGCGACACACCGAGTAACCCTGCCAAGCCCAGAGCGCTGAACCGAGATGGGATCCGAAACGAGATTCCCATTCGGAAATCGTCGGAGATCGTCGGAGATCGTCGGGCTGGCGGCGTCGCGTGGGGCGGTAGACTTGCAGTGCTTTGTGTGCAGGTCAGATGGAAGCGGTCTCTTCTTGCCGGCTCTGTAGAAGAAATGTCTCGCCCACTCGTCTGTGAATACTACACAAACCGCTCAGCATCTCGGAGAAACTCGACAAAAATCGTACTCGGACTGTAGCACGGTTTTAATGGTCCAGAAAATGCAGAAATGTTCGTACATGACGTCTGATCGGAACGACGTTGATACGACAGGCCCCTGCGGCAGACTCAACAGTATTCTGGTACATCCACTACAGGGCCGCAATGCAGCCAAAAACAGCCGTTTTAGGTACATGGGTTGCGGGTCGACGGGTTCAACCTTGGGACTTCGCGCGCTTGGTGAGCTGATTGGCTTGACTTCACGTTCGCGCGCGCCAACGCCCCTTTCCCTCTCCCCACTCACTTCTCACTCGCACCCCTTGACTCGGCACCGCACTGACCGCACCACGCCACAACTCGACGTCACATGCTTTCGCATCGTTTACATGTTCCATGCAATCTGCAAGATGCACCTCGATCCAACTACAGCTCGACGTGTCACCTCAACCCGACTGATTCGGGCACGGTGCGACGTCGCACAAAATGGTTAACAGCAAGTCCAACGCTGCCATCTTCAACACGATACAACTAAAACTGCGACCTAAGAGGGCGCGGCCACTTTCAGCAGCGTGCTAGCTTACGTCGATGCATCGCTCGAGCGTACTCGGTCGGACACGTGCTCGGTCAGCGCATCGCCTCGATCACCCCGGTCGCCCTCTCGCCACTTGACCGATGAGTGTGGGTGAGCTCTTCATTCAGATAGTACCAAGCTCTCACTTCATTCGCTCACCTCGTGATCGTCTTTGCTGCTCATCACTCTAGTTCAGATCGCGCGTTGGCCGACCCGCTGGCAACCGAGCTTCGCACCGAACCGCTCTGTGACTTGTAGGACCATACTCTGCGCATCCCTCATCAGCACCATCGAAGAGGCGCTCAACTTTGCTGAGGTCTCGAATTGATTTTCGTCGCTCCACTCCGAACGCACTGCGACCTACGCCAATCTCCTCCGCCACCCCCACATCGTAACGTCAACCCATCACACGAATGCAATCCCTCGCATCTTCTTCTTGATCGAAGCGAAGAGAGTCATCGACGCGGCAAGCTCGGGGCTTGTCGGAACATCTGTTGCACAATTCGACTGATTTCGTCGATGTCCAGACCGACACCTTCATTGGCTCAAGCACTTGCACCCCGTCTCGACCGCGCCGCGATTCACGCAACCTCCCGCGCCCTCATCCTCCTCGTCGAGTCATCCACCCAAAACCACAGACTGTCTATGTCCCGACTCGTCGTTGCAAACATCTCGACCGTCCTTGCACACTGGCTTTCAACCTCGTCGATCACTCCTACCGATCAACTTCCCAGCAAAACTCTCGAGATGTTCCACGGCACACTCCTCATTGCTTTGCAACTTACTCGAACTCCATCCTACGTTGCGCACGTTGAAACATAAAGTCCCGAGTCGCCGCTCGATTTTGGCCTCGGACCGTGACGGTCCTTCGCATTCTCAATCCAACTCGGCGACTCGCTCGACTAGCTTTATTCGTGCGATCATCATCCCACCTCTGCAAGATGCGCGTTCGTACCCGCTTCAGCAGCCCTGGTCATGCGGTCATGGACCGCGATCAGCATCGCACGGTGCTCCATCCCTTCTCGCTTCGCTTGTCACCTCGCTTGGGACGAACTCGTTTGGCAGTCACAACACGAGCAACGTCCGAAAGGTCAGTGAGTGCCTTTAACCTGAAGGCTTTCCCTTCCTCCACACCGCGTGTGGCAAATCTGTGCCCTCTTGCTTATGTTTGACTTTTCTTTCGCTCCACCAGGTCATGGATTTCGGCCTGCGCTTAACTCGACTCTTTAAACTCCGACTCGCTCGAAACCGTTTCTAGCTCATGGATGAATGATCGTCGACCCTTTCCGATTGAGAATTGAGGCCCTTCTGGCGAAACTTGCTTTGCTCGACCTCGATCTCCTCTCGATCGGCCCTGACCTCAAAACTCAACTCGGTGCGACAGATTCGAGGAGCGTGCAAGCTCTCAACTTTGCCGCTGCTGCATCCGCCACCCAAGACTCGATATCCGCCGATCCCTCGCACCATTCGACTCGGCTCGACTTTTCCTCTCACTGCACGAAGACACGGCGACGCAACGCCTTGCTGCCATGGTGAAACGTCACTTGCCCGGTACATGCGGCTCGACCCTACTCGACCCGGCACTTGGCGTGTCACCTGGAGCCGGCTAAGGCAAGCATGACACCGTTTAGCAACTGCAACACCCTCACCCTCCCCAATTGGAACGACTCGATAACAAGCTCCAAGATACCCACAGTTGCGTCCGGGCTATGTCGATTGCTCACTTGAGCCATCGCGACCGGAACTGCTCCACCTCCGATGACTCGCTCAGACCGCCCCCAGTGAGCTGTTTCGATCTTAGCTCTCACTTGCGACTCGCACTCCTTGCTGATGAGACGAAGATATGCTGTGTCACCGCGTACTGCAGATCGTTGATCACGGAAGACCTGCAAGGGGAGCGCTCAGTCGAATGGAGCTTCCCTCGCACGCCCTACATTCGAGTTGCAAATCACCCTTCCTCGATACATCCCATGACGAGTCTCAAGCACGATTGCGTCGAGATGGGAGATCCGCATTGCGCCTCAAGCAGTATCACCCCATGTCGGCTGCCCCGCGAATCACTCACCTGCCCGCCCTCGTGATCCAGCTCGTCGAGTCATCCGTCCGAAATCACAGAGCGTCTACGTTTCACCCATTGCACCTCAACATCCCACATTCCCGCTCGTCTCCTTGCCGTTCAAGTTGACCGGACTTGGACACGGGGTTTTCCACCTCGTCGATCGCACCG